AAAAAAGCAAAAGAAGAAGTTAAAGTTAACTCGATCCCCTGAAGATCAATGATTACTAAAACCTTTGACAAAAAGGTCAAAAAAAACCTCATGATTTACAACTGAGAATGGGAGAATAAGCTTTCCAATCTAAGAAATAACAGCAGCCCTCCGCCAAAAATCGCACTGCTTACCAATAATGTCGAAAACCGGACTTTCTGCGACGATAAAGAGAAAGCAAAAATCTTTGTCTACTGTCTTTTACCTCAATGCCCATACTTAATAATTCCTTCGTAGAACAATCTACTCTCACAAGCAAGCACTCCTAAACGAACACATAAACTCCGGAGAATAATCAATTATTAACCACCTTTTTAATAAATGGTGACCGGAACCTGAGATATAGCAAAACTCAAACTAAGAAACATCCCTCAATCAGCCATAAAAACTTTACGCCACTCAGTTTTTCTATTTTGGACCTGTAGAAAGTAGCCCCGTGTTTTTCTACAAAAATTAGAAACGCCTCACTAATCTCCACGGACTATTGCCCAGTAAGTCTACTATCCTGCAGTAACAAGTTGCAGAGGCAGTTAAACTTAGACGACCACTAAAATAAGTAGCTCAAAACCATAACTTATCTGAAAACCAATTTGGGTCAGAAGGGGCAATGCAACTACCCAGCAACTCTTGAGGTTCACAGAGCACGTGACAAAGATTTAACGACAATGTCCACATGTGCTGTTCTCCTAGCTTTGCAAAAGCATTGAATAGTTTGGTATAAGGGTCTTACAACTGAAATGACGCCTAAGGATACCAGGTTACCTTTTTTTTCCTTATTAAACCATTTCTACACCGTAAAAAAATATTTTACTACTATTTAAAGGCCTGCTCAAGTTTAAAGGGACTTAGGGAAGGCGTACCACAAGGCTCCTAACTTTCACCTATCCCCTTTCCGATTTACATGGGGGATCTACCCAAACCGACCCATACCCCAACATTTTTATCACAATTTGCTGATGAGCAACACTTTGCCATTTCCAAGTCAGTTTCGTTAGCAATAGAAACATATGCAAGCATACATGAAAGTATTGAGCTATGCTTCGCCCAGTGGCACCCTACTATTAACCTTAAAAGAGTACAGCTAAATTAATTACTAAGGGATGTAAAAAACTAAATGTTCAACCAGTTGCCTTTAACGATACGCTAGTCCTTTGCGGTACTAACGAAACTATCTTGGCCTCATCACAGACGACAGGCTCTTGGCGCAACCATTTAGATGAGTCACATAGAAGGCTAAACCAGTAATCAAACTACACACCTTACTTTTCTGCCAGAAAAGTCGCCAATTAAGAAAACGAGCTTTAACTCATCTAGCCACTATCAAGCCAACGTTCATATTGTCACCTTGCCATTATTGGCCACTCTTATCGTAATACAAAACATATTGAGAACTATTTTAGGAGCAACGTGGTTTGTGCAAAACTTTATTCTTCATCGAGATTTTTAAATGTTGATATTGAAACCCTACACACAATATTACAATATAGAGCCAAGGAGGATTTTAAAAAATTTTTGGCTGATTCTAACAAGCCCTTTATTCAATAAGTAACCCACGATACAAGTTTATACAAGAAATATTGGAGACCTCGACATCAAATTAATTGAGTCTGACGCTCCAAGGAGCGCCAAACTAACCTGACTGTCCTATTATCCGATGTTACATCGCAACAAGACTAGATTATTTTAAACAGCAGCTAAGGCCGTAGAGAAAGAGAGACCTTCCTGTAGAAAATAAAGAGAAAACGTTTCTTTTTATTAAAAAAAAAAGAAAAGAAAAATAAATAGGGAAGAAACAAATAAGGAAGGGGCAAACATTGACTAGTTATAAATAAATTTATTCTGAGTTTGCATAACTTTACCCTTGCAGCTAATAAAATTTTATATAACGACCTAAGATAACTGAATGCATGTGAATAATATAGTCGCAGAACACTTCACAATGGTATCACAAAACAAACAAGTAATTTAAGATAAATATATGTAGGTACTACCACATCTAAAAAATAAAGGTTAAACAATTCTTTAAAGATCTAATTTTCATAAGGAAACTTTTTAATCATAACTATATATTTATATATTGACACTATAAATGCAAATTCTGGTTTTTTTGTTAGAATTACTAATTTAAAATTTTAGAAGTTTTTATTTTAATAGAAAGTTATGCGTTGGTAAGTAAAGTACGCCAGCGAGTTGGACTGTTAGCAAATTGTAAAAAATTTTTATTATTTCAGAAAATTTAAAACCTTTTTTTTTTTAAACCACAAGCGTTTCGTCCTATCCCTCTTCTGCTCTGGAACGCAGATGGCGTTCTACACAGGAAACAAAAATTGCAGGGATCAATGCAACGCGAAAAAATTGGTCTGTGTTATTATTGAAATTCATCTTCTTCCCAACGTTTTTCCATTCAACCTCTGCAACTTATCGACGTACCTTCAGGATCGCCTTGATAGGGGCGGTGGAGGTGCAACTATTTTGGTCAGACGAAACATTCAACACTGTGATATTTTTACTAGCCCTGTATAACATTGAGTCACTTGGAGTTTCCCTCCACTTAATCAGCTGGGGCCCTCTGTCTGTGATTGGAGCTTACAAGTGCGCCAGCATACCGCTTAATACCTCAGATGTTGTTGCCCTTTCTATAACTTGTTTCTCAGTTATTATACGTGAGAACCTTAACTGCAAGCATCCTGCCTGGAACAGCTGTGTTGATTACCCAGAAGGCTAAATAATCGAACCTTAAACCGACAAGCGCGGATTGTGCAATTTAGTACCACGGTACCCAACGCACATGGAGAAGATAACCAGCTCAAATTTTTTATCTTGGATACCGCCTCTTTGGTGTACGGCGTGGTGGCGTGCACCCACCCCTAAGAGCACTACATTCGGAGCCCCACAAGGATCTCTTGTATCGCCCCTACTCCTCGCACTTCATGCGCAACGTGCCACAGCCTGACGACCTCCACTAGCGGGTTGCCTTATAGAAGTGATACAGCAATTTACTCCTTGGCAAAATCATTCGCCCTATTGCGCCAGAATCTGCAGTACTACCTAGTGATGCTTACCAACTGGGTGCCGTCGTTGAAAAGTTACTATTAATGCGGAATAGAGCAAAGCCCTTTTTATCTTAAAGAAGCGCTCTACCGACGCTGACCTTTAAAAATAAGGTAATGCCTTGGTGTCCCCAAGAGAAGAAGGTGGGTCATTACCGACTTTAAGCTCCTGTGGATGCCTCATGTAAACTATATGGCGGCGATGGTCAAGGCGGCGGTTCAAACTCTCTACCCTTTACTTTGTGCTTGAAGCAGACTCTCGCTGCACAACAAACGACTCTTGTATTTGTTATGCTTCCGACCGATCATGACATACACATCTACTGCCTGGGCCTACCACTCATCGGCAATAGTCTCTTCGCTTCAAGTGAGACAAAACAAGCTACTACGCCTTATGCCGGACGCACCATGGTTGTTCGCAACGATGCCTTATCAAAGACCTCAGGTTGAGCTCTGGGTAATGTTTTCGAAGCAATGCTATCGCAACCTACGATCGGTTCAGCCGCACCAATCGATTACTGACAGATGAGGTCAACTAAGAAATCTGGGCATGGCTTAGGAATAAAATTATTTTTAACTCATGCATATATACATGAGTTTGCTTTAGCTCAAGCTTAAAGCTAATGTGTTAGATATCACCCCGTTGAGAGCTCGTAAATTCGGGTTTACTTTCATGACCCGATCGAGCATCAGGAAATATCATTAATAAAAAAAAACCCGTTTTTAGGCTTTGCTCATTTTTTTCTTAACATTTCCTTTCAAAAATTTAAGAGAAGGTGAGAAGATATAGAGGAGCGTTTTAATTATCGAATACAAGTTCATTAAAAAGAGCATAAAGTAGACTTTGTTCATTAACTAAATTGTTTTTAAAATTTTATAACTAAATTTTTATTAATTTTTTTTTTCTTCAGTCTTGCATTGTAACAGCTTTAAAGTAGGCACAAGCATGACCTATAATAAAAAAATATTCGGTATTATATAGAAGCTTTTTGCGCTTACCACCATAATTAAGTGTGAATTTCTAAGCAATACGGTAGTTTTCGCAAGCATTAGTTTTCTTAAAATTTATTACTGAAATTATCGTGCAGACTTTAGAAATTAACTAAACTATAGCTTTAAGACAAGATAGAAATCATTGCCGTCAAAATTATAAATCGAAAAGTAGTTGTTTCTAAATTTTAAAAAGCTTTTATACCGAGCAGATATTTTGAACGTAGCTAGGACGAATATTATACCCTTTTTAAGTTTCTATCAACTTTATCTACTGCTCATTAATCAACACCTCCTCGTTTTATTATCGCCCCATTTCTATGAGTTAAAGTTAGACTAGCTCTTTTCTTTATAGTGCCACGCCCATCTGAAGTTCTCATTCAATTCCTTTTATACTTAGTCGAAAATTTAATTATTTTTTTTGTAACTTTTATAACGCTTCCGCTCTTTGAGTACGTTATCCCCCTCTATAATATTTATTTTAAGTCGTTATTCGTATACGTTGCTACTAAAAAATACTAAATAACAATTTTCCTTCCTTCTCTGTTAAATTCTAATTACAGGTAAATACAAGAATTAATACAAATTGTTTAACAATTAAATTTTAGGTGTGAATCGCAGCCTCAATGAACAGTCCTGCTCCATTCTTAATACATGAATTTATTAATTAATATAAACTTTTTTTTCATTTTTACCAGGTACTTATAAAATCTACAAAATTACGTTACAATTAGCTTTTAAACGTGGATCCAACCCTTATTAAACAATTTAGCTCCATAAGTATAAAAATCAGTATTGTTATATAAATAATCGATAAGAACAAATAAGAATATTTTACAAATATATTTTTGTGCAACAACTATTTTTATTAAAAAATTTTAAAAAAACAAAAACAAAGTCTGCAGTTTTCAATACGCATCTACTCCCTGCACTAAGAGCGCGAGTAAAAAGTTTAGAATTTCATAGCGCGCAGTTTTTTTTTAGCCTTCCGATTCACTTCCGCTGGAGTATTTATCCAAGCCCAACCCTGCTAAAGCAGATGTTGGCTGTTTTTTCAATTTTACTAAGCTGTAAACTACTCTATCCAATTTTTTTTTCACTTTCAAGTTGTTATTATTATTTTTATTAGAAGTTTTATAAAAGTAAATGTTATCATTATCTTCTTCTTCATCCTTGCAAAAAATACGTTACAACGAAGAAAAAAATATATATAAATACAATAACTTTTATTCTCTTAATCTTCAGTGTCTCCTTCCCAAAAACCTTTTGAACTAAAGCTTCATCTTCTTCTTCCTCCGTCATTCGCTCCTCCTTACAAAATAAAGGAATTACTATTGACATTATTATTAACAAAAAAAATTGTGAACGCACCCGGACTGTTTTATGTGAAGCCTCTTTATGAAAATTTAAAATCGCGTCTATAGAAATTTGTTCGTTGCGATAATTAATTTCTTTAATGTCTTCCAACGCGTCCAAAATTTCCATGTCACGTTTAGATTCTTTAGTTCTGTTTTCAAGAACTTTCATAGCATTTCCCTAATTTTAAAAAAAAAGGTCACATTATATTTAATTAATTGCAATAATAAAATAAACCATTTCTTCCTGTTCTTTTTTGCTTTTAATTTTTTCTTCCTTCTCATTTTCTTGTTTCCATAGCTCAAAGTTTCCTTTTATAAAATAATAGACGCAAAGTTTTTAACAATAAAATTTCAAAAATTAACTAGTAGCTCCATGTTCAATTACGTAATCAGCATTTTTTGGATCAGTTTTAAAAGTAATCTGCTGAGAGCAGCGAGGGCAAGATATATAAAATCTATAAATTTGGATTCCTCGATTTAAAAAAATATACTTTCTATAAATGTAAGACAGACTAGAGTATAACTTATTTACCCAAGTAGTCCTCGCCTTCGGCATCCTCCTTTTTAGAATTAAATTTAGTGGCTTTGTATATATAATTACCGCAAGCATTACATCTTCGAATTAGAAATTGTTTATTATTTTAGTAAAAGTATTTATATAACCGAAAACCTCATATTAAACGGAGCCATCAATCGAACTTTATAAGAAAGCTGTTCCTTTGTCCGACGAAGACGGGGGATTTTGCTTGGATCAAAATCTGGTGGATAATATTTCTATAACATAAGTAATAGTATATATAAATACTAAACTTACAACATTTCTCAAAAGTTAAATATTAAAATTTACCAACCGTAACTTTAATATTTTTTAATAAAAAAGCCAATAAAATTTATATAAGAAGGGCACTGAAAAAATACGATAAATCATGATATCTTACGTTTAAAACTTTTCTTTCAGACATTTTCAGGTATACAAGAAATAGCCTACACTCTCTTCGATATCAGTCTTATTTAAAAATATTAACAATTTTTTTTAGCCATTTAGAGCATTTGCGATTAACCAATCGGTCGTTTAGTTTCCTCTCAGTTCGAGCGCTCCTTTTCTTTAGGGGTTTTGACTGGCGTCTGGAAAAAGTTCTCTGGCTGGAGAATTTCTTTATAAATTAATAAATTTTTATTGATAAGTTATTCGCCTCTTTAAGGAAGAGGGAGCAAAGTAAAACCTTTTTAGAGTAATATTTACTGATTTAATTTTATAAACTTTGAGAAGAGTGAATTTTGTTATTGAATAGAGAAATAAATTTGTTAGCATTCATAAGACTTAAATGCTCTTATATTAAAAAAAATCATAACAATAACTTAACCTAATTAAGTACAAGGTAAAATTTTTTTTAACTGTAATGTTACTATAAATTAACTTAAGGATAAAAAAAGTACGGAGGGGCACATGCGTTTACCAATATTCGCTTTGCAGTCAAAATTTCCGCAACTAAAAATTTGCCCTAATTTTTCATCCCTTTGTGAGCTTTTTTATTAGTTGTAACCAAATTACTAACAAATAAATTCCTAATTCCATAAAATGTATTAAGTAGGAAAACCAACTTATACTTTGTTGCACCTGAGGAGTAAGACGAGTATCAATAGTACAACCCATTTATAATTTCGCAACTTTATGAGTATGAGAACAGAAAAATTGATATTTTTCTTTAATAAACTATAAATAATAAATTTTCTCTATAGTAGCTTACTTGCTTTTCCTATATAATACCTGTGGTTTGCATTTGCAACTTACCCCTACTATTTGTACATTCTAAAGCGAACAAACCTAATTTATATTTCTATAACGATGCTAAATCCCCCTTGTACTACGCCACAAGTGTGGAGTTTCCCAGAACGTAGTTAATTTCCAGCGTAAGAGTTTTTAGTTAACTTTTACTTTGCTTTGAAGTAGTAGTGCTGTATATCGTTAGTTATAAAGTTCCAGTGCTAAAGAACCTTCGGCTTTCCTAGTGGGCGTTTTCGCCTAGTATGCTAACATTGCCTGTGGGAGTCGTCTGTTCTCCTTGGCAATTAAGCAGAGCTTTACGAGAGTCGGGTGACATCTTGGCGAGATTGGCTAAGCGCTATGTCTTACGGTGCTTTTCACATCGCGAGACGAAAGTCGACAGCAAGGGGCCTGTAAAAGTCCTAGTATGCAGTAATGACGGGTAACACTCCATCTCATTCCTGGACCAGGCGTGTGCATGTGCTCCAAAAACCGTCCTAGTTGGAAACTGAGTGATCTTTAAAACTTTAGTAACGGAAATACTAAAGCTTGATAAAGCAAAGAGATTAAATCATACAAGAACCAGGCAGAATCATATGACTTGGTAAAAGCAAGGTTAAGTTGTTATAATTCGAATGGTTTCCAGGGAAGTAGCCCAGGGGGACTAGAAGGCATTACAGTGAGGAAGGAAGGGTCTACTAACTCACATTAGTAACACGATTACTACGTGCATTTAGTGACAAATTTTTTTCGTAGTTTACTGGATTTGTTAAGGACGTCTTAGTTATGAAAGGAACTGTCTTCCTTTAAGATATTTTTGTTTCTTGATCTGTTATTGATTATTAAGCGTATATTAGTTAGTGTTGCTTAGTATTGAACCGTTATTGAATTATTAGCGTAAGAGACTGCCCTCAGTATAACTACAATCGAAAAAATTAACTTCATCACTCCTAAGGTAATTTAAAGATGGTTACTCCGAGCAAGGTCCTCTACCCTAAGGAAGTATTAACTTTCTGAAAAATGAACATATTTAGGTTTATACTTAAACTCTTAAAGATAAAGCACTCAAAAAAAAAACTAGTTGAATAAAGTATGAGTAATGAGTAAGGCTCGTACTATTATTCTTGATCAGAAAAATGAAAAATCAAGATTATCTTAACGAGTTGACGAAGGTTGAACTTTATAAAAGAAGAGTTTAGACTACTTTGAAGCCATAATGAAAAAGTTCAGTTTTCGAGCGTACTAGATTACCTTAACTAGTCCCAAGGCTAACTTATAAGTGAGTATGAATTGGTACTAAGTTTGAATATAATTGTAGTATGAGTCGGTACGCTGCTGTAATGCTAACGGTGGCATAATGGCTATGACTCTACAAGGCTAAGAATTCAAAGCTAAAGGATTCTAATTCTAAGTAAGCTTGAGGAAGAGCTAGACTATTCCACGTAGCTAAAGAATGGCCTGTTGAGCCTTGATCTAGTTTTACATTGGTAAGATATTGCCTTAGTTGCGCCTAACCGCTGCACCTTTTAGTAAGTAAGTTATGTCTAACAGCTGCGCCTTTAGCAAGTAAGTGCGTATAATCTTGCGTCTTCCTCTTTTTTTTAGAAGGGATCATCAATAAATCTGATCAAGTCTTGGGAGGGTTACATGGGCTGTGGGTAACATAGTTTGTTAATTTTCGGTCCAAAAAGATTACTCTTAAAATTAGTAAAATAGCTTCGGTGCTTAAGTCCTTCGGCAGGCTCTAGCTTACCTGTATCCCAGAGGTGAATCATCGTCACGGTCTTTGAGCTGGTGACGCTAAAATAAGCGTAATGTGACATAGTCCTTGATAGCTTTGCTATTTTGGTGAGTAGTAAAGTAACACACAAAGCTAATTACTCTTCCGCTTTATATTTATGAGCTTACGCGTTGTATACTGGCATTGCCTGTGGAAGTCGTCTCTTAGAGGCGAGCAAGCAGATCTAGTTGAACCTTAGGTGAAACTTTGGTCACACTTAGCTAAGTCATGTGCGTTCAGGCCCTTTTAACTAGTAAGTTCTAAAAGCTTTCGGTGATGCTGGCCTATATGAGTGATGACAATAGCACTATCGCTCCGTTCATGAGTCACTAGGGCGGCTTGATATTAAAGAAGCTTACCTTAGGTTCAAGTCATGCTGGTATGTAATGGCGCGTGTATGCTATTTATAAGAATAGGTATGTAGAAATAGGCACCGTTACTGAATAGTGTTATAGCCAGTATATTACATGAATGCGGCGCAAGTACCGACTTTTAATAATTACTCCTAAATTTTAAATCATATACCGCTTTTGATTAATACGTAACTTTAGCTGAATGTAAAGGGGGAAGAGCCAAATGGGGTTTTTGTAAAAAGGAGTATAACCTATTTAAACTTGTTTATATATTATAAATGCTTTCAAATTTACATTTGACCAGTTAATTGAAAGTATGCATAGTCTGGAGGAGAGACGGTTACGGGGTTGAGTTTACTTAGGTTGCTATTAAATTTATTCCTTATTATTAATATAAATATATATATATATATATATTATGTTCTATCCTTTTTTTTCCCCACTCGCAATCACTCGTAGTGTTTCAACTATAACCCACTATTAAAGACTGAGGTGAAACTAGATTTCGCGAACAAGGGGAGATGGAAAACTAAAATTGTTAAAGGTCCATAAAACTTTGAAGAGAACTACTAGCCGAAATGTTACCTTAACCTAACCAGAGTTATTTCGGAAAATTCAAATTTTAATAAACATTATCCGGGTCGAACGCTTACATAAGCGGTGATAAAGACTACAAATTTAACAACAAATTTTATTGAAACTTAGGGCAAAATGCTAATATTTGTCTTACTAAGTACGCTGCTACGTTCACCGTTAACTTCTTGTTATTGAAGGCTTAAGGTACGAGCTTGGAAAAAAAAACTCCTTAAAAGCTGTTGAATTGTAGGGTTTTTTGTACAAAGTTGTCTATCGTTAATTATATTTTTAATAAAAACGTATTTCTATAACTTCTAAAGGGTAATTAATTCTATTATTTTTCTCAAGCATATTTCTCAACTAAGTATGGTGCTTTATCGGGATTAAAATAAATTCTAAGAGTTTTTCAGCAATTCCGGAACGAAGATTGTTAAAAAGAGATTTAAAGTTGTTGGATGTGCCTAAGAGAAGCTTTTGTAAGGTGTCTAGAGGTGGAGTTGTTCTATACCTTAAGCGATGTAACGATTTCTAATATTTCCAGCAGTGAAATTTTCTTTAAGAAAGAGCACTATTGATAACATCAGGGATAATATTTACTTGCTCTGGGTTAAGCTTGTTAAAGTTAACTGTCATTTTGTAAAGGGTTTTTCTGATTCCATTAGTTTTTCAACCTCAGGTCTCTCGCCGTTGTCCAGAGGTACTTATCAGACGTTTTTAACGATATTCATCTAGAGTTCGCTTCATAATTCAAACTTACTGAGTTTTTGCTAAACACATCGAACAGTAAATGAAATAAAAAACTACCAGTCACCATTACTCCCACAGGCAAGCTCACTAATTTTATCTTATAACTCCCAGTAGTCACTACTAACAACTATATAGAACACTAAACACTTCTTGTCACAACAATTAAAGTTTCTTAATATAACATAATTGGGTAGGGAATACTTGATTCCTTCCATGAGCGCCCGAGTTTACACATACTATATATCAATGCTAATTCGCGTTAAACTTGCATAGTTCACTTATCACTTCTCGAACTTCGCCAGAATTTTTGGTTGAGATGAAACTTAAGCTGATTCTTATTGTAAGCAGGGGTTTAGCAGCGAGAAAATCAATTTTAACTAACCACAGCGCAATAGCTCTAACAAATGCTCTAGCAAGAATGTTTTCGGTTGTTATAACTAAAAAAAGTTTTGAAGCTCAATACATTGATATTTGCGCACAGTGGGAGTAGGAATAATTAGAGAGGAGGATTACATATTATGCAGTTTAAGCAAAAATAAAGGTACAAGAAAAGGCAGAATACTTTTTAAAAGAATCTAAAAAGAACCCAAGGCATGTAAAAATAACAATCTATTACCTTATGCATTTTTTAAACAAATATTTAAATTTTTATAAAACGGAAAAACAATTCCTGCAAGAATTACAACTTTATATTAATAATTATAAATTTTTAAATGTGCGAGCCCGTAACTCTTTTTTTCGTAAATACTAAACTATATAAGATAATTTTTCAACTCGCTGCGTTTGGTCAATGTTACTGAGCAAGTTAGTTTCTTGCACTACCTTTTGCTTATATTAGAAAACTTGATGGTTACATTTTATCAGGATATATACATTAATTTAAGGTTGAATTTCAACACGGTAAGATTACTTCTATTTTATACACTTCTGGAGATTTATATGTTAAGAAAATTCAAAATTATATTGCAATAGAAATATACGAATGTGAAGAAAGAATTAAGTATTATAAAAAACAGATATGCTTATAAAGTTTAAATACATTATATCCGTGCATATTCTTGAAGATCCCAAATATCAAAAAAATAAAAATTTGTTAAATTAAATTAGTTTAGTTTTATGAATTACTTTTTATTTGCAAAAAATTTGCAAGCAAAGAACCGCAGTATGCACATGAATATAAAAAAAGATAACTTATTAAATTTACCTCATAAGTAAAAAAATTAACTGAAAGGATCTTTTTACCAGCTTTTTACATGACATGATTTGAAACCTTAATAAGCTCAGCAATTTACTTATTTAGTCGCTGGGAGCAAGTTAAAATTGTAGTTTATAATAATAACAATAGCGGAATCAGTTCAGAAGCTTGAAACTCCTTTTAGTAATGAGAAATGAATTACTAAAAGTTTTTTTTGTTATGCATATACTTTTTAACTCGAACATGTAGAAGAAATCATAATAATTACCTTTTGTTTACTTTGTAAACAAGATTAACTTTACACATGACCTCATTTTTTTAAAAAATAAGAGAAACGATGAAGTTTTGATACTTTTATACTGTTTATTTATTTATGGCCCTAATTATTACTATTTTAATTTTTTTGTACGAGATTTTTATGCTTAATCGAATATTTAAAAAAATTAAAATTTTTTTTAAGACCGTAAAGGAACGCTACACCTTCCCGAGGACGTTAATATATGCACGAATCAATGATGATATCTATATGTTTATAGGTTATTTACACCTCTTAAAACTATTTTTAATATATGACGAAAACTTAAATATTTTACAGCTGACGTTAAAGAGGTCATCCCTATTTTCTTGTAACTTCGAGGAGTGAGAATCACATTCATAACTAACTACACCCTTTTTTAACTTCTTTTTATACCCATTTTTTGATAAACGCCCTACCGCGCTGTGCTTCGTTCTCGGGTGCGAGTAAAGGGACTTATTACATTCAAAGTTTTCCCAAGTTCATTTTCACATCTTGAGAGCTACCACAGTTAAAGATCAACTCGTTGAGAAATGCTAAAAGACAAAAAGAAATTTGTCTTTATTTTTATTAAAAACACAAGAAACCGTTAATTGGCAAAGAATTATTAAATTTACAGAATTTACTGGTAATCGAGCTGATTATTAAAGTATTATAATAGCTATCAGCTTTCCAGACTGTTAAAAGATATAAAGATTAGTTTTTACATCTGTAAATATTATAAATCTATAATATTAAAACAGTTTATTAAGATTTTGCTATTAATCTTGTACTATAATTTAATAATATAAAAAAAGTTTTTTTTTTAAATAGTTAGTTTTTATTAATTGGGTATCAAATTTAAATTAAGTATCATAGAGTAATAAAAAATTTCCCTCACTATTTTGCTATTAACGTAGTAATTTAAATCTTTATTGCCAAAAAAGTTTCTTTTATTTTTGCTATTTATTTTGTATTATAGAGTTATAATACCATAAAAATTCTTATATATTTGCTATTAAGTTTTATTATAGATTTAAAAAATTATAGTTTTTTTAAATTTTGCCAACAATCTTGATTTATATTTATTATATTGACTTTTTTTAAATTTCCTAGACGATCTTTATTATGGATTATATTGTGAATTGTTTCTTTTAAATTTCGCTATTAAATTTCTAATAACTTACTAAATTTTTTTTTATTGCAGTAAAAGTTGTCTTATGGATTTTATAATAAAAAATTTTCCTTTAATTTGACTTTAACATTTGTATTACAGTATTATTATGTGATAAAAATTTTCTTAATTTTTGCCTTCAAACTTGTAATAGAAGTTCACAATACTCTCAACAGCTTCTTTTATTTTTGCTATAAATTTTTAGAGTCAAAATTTATTTATAATTTGCTAACTTTATTCTGTAAAAAAAAGTTTACGATGTTTCTTATTCTTTTAATTTTAAAATATATATATAGATAAAATTTTCTTCTAAATTTGCAATTAATTTTGAATTATATAGATTTATATTTCTCTAAAAAATTTTTAAAGATTTTGCTATTAAACTTGTACTATAAAATTACAATATTAACAGTTTTTTAACTTTTTCTATTAATTTTGTATTAGACTTATAATGTTAAAAGTTTTCTGTAATCTTGCTTTAAATATTATTAAACAAGTTTTGCTTATTCTCAGTCTATTTCCATAAATACTAATATAAATAAAAATTATAGCCTTTTTGTAAACAAAAATATAATATACGAAGTTTGAGTAACTTTCGTTGGAAATTACTCAAGATTATAAATAATTATAAATAATAATAACTTTAATAATAAAAGAAAATATTAAAAAAAATAACTTCTTATAACAATAAATGATAATAAAACTTTAATTTTAAGAAAAGTTATAAATTACTATTAAAGAAAAGATATACTTTTATATAAATATATATATAAACATAAAATAACTTAAAAGTGGACTAAGCACAAATTTTTTTTTTTAAAAATAATGTGGAACTCAGAATGGAAAGTCTCAAAATTTAAAAAAAAAATTATTTAGCTTTAAATTCCTTCTAACAATTTATAACCACCTTTTAAGGTTCATGTAAATAACAATATTTTTATATTAAGATTGCTTCTATATTTTTTCAACATGTAAATTGTAATAAATTTCTTTTTAAGATTTAATAAAAAATATAATTTTAAACAATCAAATTAATTTGTTCAATAATTGTTTTTTTATTTCCAAGGAGCAATTAATAAAATAAAAGTTATTTGCTTTTTATAACAATTCAGTAAAAGGCATCTTAATTTGGAACTCAGGAATGGAAAGTATCAAAATTTATGAATTTCTTATAAAGCTTTCATTTTCCTTTAATTTAACCACCTTTTGAGTTTTTATGTATATAATAATAAATTTTCTATATATAAAATTGCTTTTACATTTTTTTAATATGTATATGATAAAACTAAAATAATAATAATTAATTTTAAACATGCGAATTTTTTTAATAATTATTTTTCATTTTTCGAGGAACAATGAATAATAAAAGTTATTTTCCCTTTTTTAAAACAATTTTGCAAACAGGTATCCTATAATTGTGATACTTAATTTTAAGCAGAGCATCTTATAACTATTAACCTCAATATTATCGGCATTGCTATAGTGGCTCCACCCCAGGAAATCCTTAGAAGTGCTGAACTATTGCGTTAATATCAAAAATAATAGCAAAAAATGTAGTAACTTAAATAATTAATTTAATACCTCATCTTCAGCGTTTAATCTAGCGTGCAGGAAAAAATATATATATAACAAATTAGATTGCATAAATGAATTACAAATAACAAATATTTTTAAAATATAAAAGTTTGCAAAAGTCAAATTTATTAATATATTTATATAAAAACTTGTAGTTATTATATTATAAACTTAAGAGGACCGTAAGAAATGTATACTTTATAAGATCAAGCGTTTCGCAGTTAGTAGTAAGGTTAAGCTGAAATAAATTTTTAAGTTCTTCTGAAGTGAAAAGCCCTTTTGCCGATGAAAAGTCGTTCTTTAAAAAAAAATTTTATATGTACAAAATTTAATATCATTTTTTAAAATAATTTTTTTAGTCGAAAAAAGTTTTTCTGCTTATTTTCTTTTTTATTTACTATTTCGTAAAATTTTAAGAAATTTTTCTTTATATGTGAATATAGTAAAGTCTGCTATAATAATAAATCAAAAAGTATATTATATGAGAAAGTAAAAGGTAATTGCTAAAAAGTTATAAAAAAAGAACCAAATTCACTGCAAGTGAAGCTTTGGAAAGTTGGCGTTGAAAAATTTTTTCTAAAATTCATTATGAAGTACTGTTGGTCTCATATAGTTTATTAGTATAAATTTAATATATATAAATGTTCCTAATAAAGCCTTTATTAATTGTTTATTATTAGAATTACAGTAAAAATGAGGTGGAAAAAATTTATAAATCCATTAAGAAACCTTCAATAGTTCCCGTTCTGGAAAAAAAATATCGTTTAATATTTATTTTAGTAATAAAGAAAGCATTACTTCTACATATTTATATATAATTATATATATATATATATATTTTACTTATAATGTATACAAATATATTAACTTTTTTATTTGTTTTGACAATATATAAAAGAAAACTATGGAATGTTTAGTTATAAATATAATAATTTTTTATTTATTACTTATTATATATATGAAAAAAGCTATTTACTTATGTATAACGTTTTGTAATTAATTTGAAATATATAATATAAAAACTAATAAAATACCTTTGTAAATATATATAAATTTTTAGTTTATTCAGTATATTCTAATTAATTTTCATAAAATGTATTTTTTATAAATAAATTATTTTACTTGAATAATAATAAATAGTAAAAAACTTTTTTTTTTATCATTGAGAACTGAGATTCTTTTAGATATATTTTAAACCTTCAAATTATTTGGGTCACGAATTTATTTTGTATTACTCTTCAGCTTATTACATTTACTTCCATTTTAAATATATATGTTATTCTATAACTTTTTTTTAAAAAATAATTAAAATAAATGTTTTTTTTAGAAATAATTACGTTAGGAGGCGATATATATAAACTTTAGAGAGTTGCTTATCTCTCCATATTCGCGCCATTGCTTGTTGGTCAATAGCAGGATTCCTAATGATATATAATTGTTTATCTTGAATAATGTATATAAAAACAGAAGCTGTTTAGCATAACGCTTAAAAAAAGTTGCACTTATAATTTTAATATAAAATTTGCTTCTAAATTTTTTTTTAAAAATTATCATATATATTACATTATCTATCTATAAAGTAACTTTTTTATATAACTTTTATAAGAATAGTAAGCTAACTTTTTTCTAAGGCAAAAAAAATTTTTTTTATAAGCTTATAATTTATTACCAGTCAATATCAAACATAATTAAGCGATTGGCACCGTATAAATTAAGCCCCGCACCGCCAGCCTTCGCGCTTAATAAAAAAAGAACTGCAGAGCATTAATAAAATTATAATTTTTTTTTTAAAAAAATTGTAGGCGAAACAGCCGGATAATACATTTCTCATTGGAAGCTGATAAATTAAATACAGCGACTTGTTGCTGGCGCCTCCAGACTGGTGTCTTTCCGTCCAGTCGGCTAAACGGGTAGCACTTATCGTCGCATATACTCTGAAGCTCATCTAATAACTTAAAAATAATGAAAATTTATATACTAAAAAAATATTATTTTTACAAAAATTATAAGACGAAATAGTTTTATAATAATTAAAAAAAAAGAGTTAATTTTATAGAAATATAACATCAATGATCCAAAATGAAAAAAGCAGTATATATGAAAAAGATTATTTATAATTATAAATTAAAAAATATGAAAAGAGTTCATTTTTTTTTTATAAAAATAGTTCATAAAAATATCTTTAATAGGGAAAATTTATATGGAAAAAAGTTAATTTTTATAAAAATACTATAATTAATAAAAAATAACTTAAAAATATATGTTTTTATTATTATGATAAATATTAATTTTATGAAATATATACTATAAGTTATAATATAACTTTAAAAAATTGTATATAATTAAGTAAAATTAATTTTATAAAATATGTATGAAAAATCTGAAAAAGTGCACAATATTAGATTATTATTTTTATGCTAATTTGTAAAGAAGAGGTACATTTTAGATTCTTTATAATTACTCCAAAAAAGAATAAATAAATAAAAACAGCAATAAAAATTTTAAATTTTACTTTTTATTAGTGACGTTCATTTTTTATGAGTATTAGATATACTATAAATAAATAAATGAACTTTTGTAGAGTTGGCCACTATAACTACTTTATCTTTCGTGTTTTGCTTAATGTATTCAAGTAATTGAAGTAAAACTTCAATTTTACCTTTTTATTAAAATAATAGCGTAGAATAGCTGTTGACTTTCAAAAAAAAATAATAAATAATTTTTTTACCGGTAAAAATTGGCTTAAGCCTACTTGCATCCTCTTTGCGGGGCTTTAAAAAAAATTTTATATAAAGATCAAATATAAAATGCGAAAAATAAATTATTGTATATTTACTACCAATTATAAGCTAGATATTACCTAAACTTTACTATATAAAAGCACTAAGTAGTTTTAAATACTGCACATTATAAAAAATAATATAAATCTCATAGCTGATTGTAAAAAAGCTCCTTAAAATCAATATTTTTATATTAATTCTACCTATGTAAAAAAGAATTTAATGAAAATTATTACAGAAACGTAATGATATAAAGAGCTTGAGACCTTTGCAAGGGCGCAAAGATTTACAGAATTGCATAAATTTTTCAATACTGTTATAAGTTTTAAAGGAGTAGCTGTTGAAATTTCTATATTTTCATATATTCAAAAATGAGACTCAAAATAAAAAATATTAAGCAAATAAAAACTTTTTTGAACTTTAAAAAAAGTTTAGATAAATGTTATTTTGTTATATTTATTTTGAGCCATTTTCATTATTATAAGAAATAAAATTGGGCTTAAAATGAAAAGTTAAAAATAATTTTTAGTAAAAGAAAAATTTTTAATATTTTAAAAAAAAATGTTTACAAAAAAATGTTTTTTAATTTATTTAAACTATTTTTATTATTACATGAAAGTTATTATTATTGATTGTTTTTATACTTACATTATGCTACCATTATAATCACGAAATTATTAATTTTTATTATTATTATGATTATTTTGAGGTTTTTAATTACTAATTAAAACTTAAAACCATAATAAAATTCTTAAAAAAAACTAAAAATTAATTGTTTTTCTCAATTGTTTTAAAACGCAGAAAAATAAACTAGAGACGCCCAAAAAAAAGGTGTAAAAATGTGCTTGAGAAATTGGTTTATTTACAACCAACATTAGCATTTCTTTTAAAACGTTAAATAATATATATATATATAAGTTCTTAATATTAGTTATATATAATAATAATAATAAGTAAAGTTATTAAAACTATTTAAGAAGTATTTTTTAAGATGTACAAAGAATATTACATTAAAATTAATAAAAAATATATATATTTATATTAAAGGTTCTAATTAGTAATTTATATATAAAAATATGGTTATAGTCAACATTTATAAAAAGTTATAATATTCACAAATGTATTTTTTAAGTTATTTACATAAACTTTATCTATTAAAATACTTTAAAAAATTATAGAAACTAATAATAAAAATTATAGCTAAGTTACAAATATATATAAAATATCAAATACTTTTTAAAGTTTTTAAAGAAGTTATAAAAAAAATTAAAAAAAAATTATTAACTTGTACATAAAAATAATTTTACTTTTAATATTTCTAATAATATATAATATATTATATAAGAAAAAGTTATTATGAAGTACTTTATATTAAAAATTAATTTTTTAAGTTTTTTTTATAAAAATTTAATGATATATTTTTATTGTTATTTATACATAGAAATAATACTAAGTTGTTCAAATAATTTAATAAAAACATATGAAATGTTATAATTAAGTAATTTATATAGGTGAAATTATTATTTTAAATTTATTAAAAAGTTGAATATAAAATTTATAAATTTTTTTAAGGTTATTTAAATACTATTAAAATATCTAATATCGTTCATAAAGTTGAACAAATATTTTATCAAAAATTATATAAAAGTCGTTTTTATCTACAATTTTTTTTTCAAAGTTTTAAAAATTTATTTATGTAAAAAATAATACTTAAAATCTTTCAAAAAATTTAGTATAATATTTATAAAAAAAAGGTTTTTTTTAAGTTATACATTAATTTTTAAAGTTTTTAAAATTTAATAAAATAATTATAGAAAACGTAACAACTGGTATATGTATATAAAATAATTAAAGTCTTTCAAAAGTATAAATTTTTAATAAGAAAAGGTTAATATTAAGTTACTTACATCAAATAAGAATTTTTATATAGTATTAATTTTTTTAAAAAAATTTGTGTAAGATATACAAAAGTTTTTATATAGTTATTTCTACAAAAAAAAATTTATAAAATTTTCAATGTTTTTTGTATATAAAATGATATATAAAATTTTTTAAAAAATTTAAATAAATTATTTATAAAAAAGTTTTAAAGTTATCAGGGAAGTTAAATAAAAGTTAAACGCAGTTGAATAGACCTGCTTTGAGGAATTGATGATACAAAGATAACTGTTTAGGAGTTGGCTTGCAAAAGACAATATATTCTTCTAATAAAAAAACATAAACTTTAATAATTAAAACAATTATAAAAAATTATATATTTATTTAATACAAAAAAAGTATGTTTTACTTTATACTATTTTTAATGTGTATTTATTAATATATCAATACAAAAAAGTTTGTTTTAATTTTTTTATTAAGGCCTTAATTATAATTTATTTATTTTATTAAAAAAAAACTTATTAAAAATTTGTACATTATAATTTTTTAATTTTAATTTTATTTATAATTATTTTATATATTTTTTGACTTATAAATATTTTATAACATTCTTTATTACTTAAAAAAAACCTTTAGGAGGAAGATAGTCATTATTAACTTCTTTATTGCGTCTCAGCATAAAAGAACTTGTATATCTAAAAAGCTATTGCGGAGTCAAAGCCAAAGCATTTATTAAAATAAAAAGAGTACCTCCGCTTCTTTTTTTAAGCCCTCATTTCGCTCTTCAGGCGTACAGCCTGCCAGCTTACTAAGGCCAATGGGATCTACATATTGCTTGCGAAATACAGGGTACGACCCTAAATTTATAGAAATTAGATATTACATTCATAAAGCTTTTATTTATAATAAAGAAACCAAACACGCCGGGATTAACAAAGTCGCACATGCAATAGAATTCTTTAAGGTTATTCTATGATGAAATTAATATAAAAATTTACAATAAAAAGAGTTAATTATCGTAAAGCCTGAATGGGCGTTCCGGATAGTATTATACGCCGACGAGTATTTAAACGGTTGAGGCACTTCAAATTAATTTATAATAATTATAATTAATGATGAATAGTTTATTAAAAAATCATATAAATAATCATCGGGAAAAGAAAATTTATAATTACTTAAAATTCTTAACTTTAAAAAGCTTAATTTCTTTGTTTTTCAAACGATGACCTTCATCGCAGACAATAACGTCAATTTGAAGGTTTAAAGATTTTTCGAAATGTCTTAAAATCTTATTATAATAAATAATAATAATAATAAAATTTATTTTAGTAAACTTTAACGCTGTTCAATAGCATTAAAAAAAATGCAGACTTTTTAAAATTTTATGCTTTTTTAAATTGTTTAAAGTGAATTATAGAAAATTATATTTTATTACGGTTAATGCGTATTAACAAGTCAAACTGAGTAGATGTACCGCTTCCTAACAAAAATAAACTTCATCCAACTTTATTAAAACTTATTTTTATTAAACAAAAAATTACTTATATACTATTCAATACCATATTATAGATATGAATATTCTTTTAAATGGTAAAAATTATACTTCTATTATAACATACTATTTTTCTAAAATAAAATTCGTGACCTACTAAGTAAAATTAACGCATTTAGAATTACTGATTAATATATAAAAAAACACGTACTTGCAATATTTGTAAATTTTCATTGAAAAGGCAATAAAAATATTTTAAGCAGAAAAGAAATAATAAGAATTTTTTATTATAAAAATATATTACCGTTTCATAACTAAATATTCCCGCATCATAAATACGTGCGTGAATAAAGTCCTTTATAGTTGCACTCTCCCCTACAAAAATCCGGATCCGCTCCAGCCCAAGCCACTTATTGAATTCAGTTTGCCAATTCTGTAGCAATTTTATATAGAATGTTAGAAAATGTAAAACGAATAATAACAAAAAAAAACCTTAACAAGGCTGGCTGGGCAAACCACCAAGACTTTCCTAGCAAGAGGAGGCATTCCGTAATAAGGAGTTTGTTCTTATTTATTTGGTTATGAAATAAAGTAATTACTTTAAAAATATATATATAAATAATTTGCTAAACTAAATTATTACTAAATACAAATAATAATAATAGTAACAAACTCAGAAGTTTGCTTTTTTTTAAAAAAACGAATTAAATGTATTATAAGAATAGAAAAATAATTAAATTCCTCTAAATAATTTCTAAATACAAATAACTAATATATAAAATAATAATAGTTCCTTTTGTTTTAAATATACTAATAACTATTACTTAAGACGGAATTATTATTAATTACAATAACTAACATCTAAACTATAACAGTAAGAAATCTCAGGGGTAAGCTATAATTAAATTATTTTAACTTAAAAATTAGATAAATAGTATATCAAACTAAATTTTTTACAAATAAAAATAATAACGGGAAAAACCGAGAGTGCTTTAATTATAAAAGATTAATATAGGTTTCAGGAAATTATTTTTTTTATCAAATTAAATTTGGCTACACACTAGTAATAACAAAAAAATTGAGTTAAAAAATTCAACTAAATTTTACTAAATATAAATGTTAACTAATAAAATAAATAGAAAACTCTAAAGTATGTTCTTTTTAATTAAGAAAAAAAGTAAAGATTGTATAAGACCAAATTTTCCTAAATACATGTAATGTTTGTAAAAATAATGAGTGTACCTTTTTATTATAAAAAATAATTTAAGAAAAAAAATAGTGTCAGACTAAATTTTTACTAAACATAATTAATAGCAAACAAAGATTCATGAGTTTACTATTTTTATTAAAAATAAAAATTATATAAATTAATGAATAAATATAAATAATTATTAAATTAGGATAAATTTTTACTAAATACAAATAATAACTAATAATAGCAACAAAAAAAAACAGATAAAGGTCCTCTTGTCTTTAAATAATAATTTAAATTATTTCAAAAAAATTAAATATATTTAACTATATTTTTATAATACACTAATAATAACTAAAAAGAATTATAGTAGTAAAAAACTAAACTAAATTATTACTAAATACAAATATTAACCAAAAAATTTTAAAGTAATAAATTCAAAAGTATTCTCTATAAATTTAAATAAATTTTGCTAGTTACATACAATAACAGTAAAAAAAACTGAAGAGTGTGTTTTTAAAAAAAATAATGTAAATTAAAAAAATAAATATTATATTTAACTAAATTTTACTAGAACACAAATAATAATTAACAAAAATTAGTCATAAATTATTCAAGTAATTATATTAAACTACTCTTATTACTAAATAAAATTAATTATATTAACAAATAATAATAGTTCAAGAGTTTTTCTTTAATTTAAATATATTAAATATATAAATTAATATATTATAATAAAGTATTAGTAAATACAAATAATAACCAAAATAATAATCAAAAAAGTCAAGCGTTTGCCCTTTCTTATAAAATATAATAAATTAAATATAATTATATTTAACTAAATTTCTATAAAATCCAAATAATAACTAATAGCAAATTTTTTAATTGTATATAAGCTCAGAGCCACATACTTAACATAACCCAGAGCAGAGTGATGCACTGGAGAGTTTTTCCAAGACCCCTTATATATAAAAAGTGCCTTAATAATATATTTACATTATCAGCTGGACTACAAACTGAACTAAGAAATATAATTATAAAAGTAATAAAAAACATTTCGTCTGCTAAAATAGCGCCTCCTTCGTCAAGCATTCGAGAATATAAAAATTTTACTCCGTCTATTTGGTGTTTCCTTAAATTTACAAAGAGAAAAGGATCAATGAAAACATCGAGATTTGTATCATGCAAATTTTTTTTCTGCTGAGAATGACTTGGCGCTGGCAGCAAAAAGGCATTCGGAGTTTCGCGAGCTGAAAATATCATTATAAAATATATATTATAAATATTTTTTATATATCACTTCTTTTATTTTTTTTTCAACATTTCTTTTATTTAATTATATTAAATTTATAATTTTATACTATAATATTGATTCTATTATATTTTTAATTAATTAAATAACTTATTTAAGACGGTGCTTATTATGAATTATGGTTTCTACGACTATAAGCTTTTATAACTTTATTAATATATATACAATAACGTGATTGACAAAGTCCAGATTTCCTTCTAGTATAAGCAGGTTTTCGAAGGAGAGCGGGGTTAAATTTTTTCACGGATTTCGTAAAGCTTTCATTAGATTTTATTACTGAAAGAAACAAAATCATTAGATAAAAGAAGCAAAGAAACGAATCTATTTATTTTTTCATTCTGCAAGAACGCTCGTACTTTCATAAGGCAAATCCTCTTTCTCGAGTTTTTCAAGTATCTGCATAATATTTTACAAAAGAAAAAACTATTTATTTTTACTTAGTATTTATTTTTATTTTTATTTTAGAGTTATAACGAATTTATTATTTTTGGTTTTCTGCAAATATTTCTCTTTAAAATTATATTAAAATCTATTTGAGGAGCAACGATTAATTATTATCTAAATTTTGTATTATTTCTTTATAACACTAAATAAATACTAATATTAGGCTTAAAATCAGTAGAAGTTAAGGTTAGCTTAATAAAGTTGTAAAATAAATAAAGAGGGCAATAGTAAAAATAAATGATAATAAAAATCGGATAAATAGTGTATTAATATAAATAGCAGTTAAAGTAAAAATAAATTAAGTAATAATAACATTGAATATTAAAGAGTATATTGGAAAAAAATTATAAGTGGAAATAAATATTAATAATAATCATAATAAAAGTCTTGTTAATGCAGACTTCAATTTCTTTATCTTTCGTATAAAAAGTATTTCCGATAAAAAGTGGATTATTGAAAATGGAGGCTTGCAATCTTCCTTTATCTAATAATTCTCCACTAGGAACAGCTCGAAGTTCATATAATTGATTCCCAAAAACTATCAAAACGGCATCATCATCCTTAATTAATAAAAAGAAAAAATAATTACAGAAATTAATTTTATATATACCCAAATTTTATTTTTTTTTAAACTTTTCTTGCACCAGGCGACCTTTAAAAATCTGGCAAGAGCTTATTATCTACAGAAAACAACTAAAACTAAACTCACGTAACCTCGTTTCCAAGTCTACCAAACTGCTAACCTCCTCCACCGCTTTTAAAAAAATTTAAATTTTAAATTCAATATAAACAAGGACATTTAACGCCCGAGGACTCTTGTATAAAGAGTTTAGTAAAAAGTTTACTTTGCGCAGAAAGAGAGTCGACTGGGACCAAGTCTTTTTCTTTATAGAGAATAGCAGGCCTTTTTCTTAGCAGTAATAACAATTTTCAACTTGTTTATGTATATATTATTAATAAACAACTTTTTATATATTATTTCGTTCTCGCTTTTCCTTCTAATTAACATTTAGATTAGTGCCTTGCAATACCAATGATTCTCTTACGAAAAAATATTTTTGTCCAAAAAAATTGATACTAATAACTTCTGGAAACTAGACAAATTTATTAAATAATCCAAAAAAATTTAAGGGTAAAGTCATATATGTATAACTTTTCCCTCTCTTTTGCAACTGTTGGGGTATAGACAGTTTAAATAACGAATAAAATAAAACCTGGCTTGAAACTGTTAATGCGAAAGGCTAAGTAACTTTGAGCTTTGTCAGCTTCAAGTAGCCAGTAATTGCAACAGAGTGCTAGCTATCCAAAGGTTGAGGAGGTTGAGAGCCGGATTAAATTAGTGCAGCAAATGTAGTAAAAAGTACGGACTAGCTAACTGGGCTTTTTGCTAGAGGCTGATAGTGTTATCTGCCAATATCGTATACTTAACCGTGCCGCTCTTCTTACTCAATGTCCGTACATGGATTAATAGAAAAAGACGGCCATAGGCTCACATCTGTAACTAACTTGAATTTTTCTTATGCAAATAACATAGCATAACTGTTTTTAAAATATAATTTCCCCGCCACCACCTTTATAATTTAGATTTTGAGAGTAAATTCTAGGAAAAAAAATAAGTTAATACTTAACAGTAGTTAACTTGTCGTAAAGATTATTATCAAAGCTTTATTTATTTAACTATTAAACTCACACATTTATTTTCTATAATTTATTCTATATTTTCAAGGTTTTTTCTATCAGGCAATAACTATAGTTAAGCAAGGCAACTCAATTTAAGGGCAATATAATAAAGGTCGCTAATAAGGACAGGGCTATAAAGTTATATTTATCTATTTTACCAATTATTAGTTCTCCCACCATGTCAAAAAGAGCAAGTTATCTAAAAAGGGTACGCCTTTAAGATTTTTACTCCATGTTTCTTTTCTTCCAAGATTTAACACTAACATAATTTTTATCTTTTAACTTGCCCTTTTAAATTTTACGAGCTTTATATATATTTAAAAACACCCTTTAATTTACTTAATACTTAACATGTGTTTTTTAATATTTTTAACCTACATTATAGTAAAAGACATATCTATTAACGCTAGTGGGCTCCTTTACTTTTACTAGGAGGTGAATGTTCAGTTTTTAACGTAATGAAAGTTTTAACAGAATTGAATTGCTCTTATTTTTAAAGATTTAAGATCAAAGAGATGCCCAACCTCCGGGGTAACAATTCCTAAATATGCAAATACAATAGTTTAAGTGCTTATCATACTTTTTAGTCTCCACGAGTACTGAGAGTTGGTAAGTTGATACCATCTATTTTGCCTGTATATTGCTATCTTTAAAGCTTCTTTACAAGTTTACCATAAATTATTTCAAAATTGTAATTTTAATTAATTATTATTTTGTCATTTTTTTAATTTTTTTATTTTTGCTAGAAAGTTTTAATTTACCCTTAACTCTTAAAATACTATAATTTTCAGTGTGCCAAGTTTTAAGTCTTGCAATTTTGGCAAGTCTTTTTTTTTTTCAATTTAGTTTTAAAATCTTAAGAAAAACTTAAAAGTCTACTACATTTTTTATTAAAAAATAAATTAAAGAATTTATAGAGTGGGACTGGAACGAGTGATGTTAGACCACGCAAGCACTTAATAAAATAAAATGACTTAAGAAATCTCTAAATATCTACAGTAGTATAAAGGTAAAAAAGGCCAAGTTTAATAGGTCATCTAACGGGGTCTCACGGTTAATTCCAAAGTTAAATGACTGCTAAATTTTTATAATTTATAGCTTAAAAAAAAAACTATATTAACCACGCACGACTGATATTTTATAAGGATTCACCATTATTATCTTTAAGTGCCATACAACATTAGAGACCCAAGTGGTCCAAGGCTACTTTAATGCGTAAAAGCTTCCGCAACTGAGTTATATAATAAAGGTCCCAAATGCTACAAAAATTACTATCCACTTATTCCTTTGTAATAACGTTATTACTATTGTTACTGTAAAAGTTATTAATATTATTATAATTATTGTTATAAGCATAAATATTTAGTATTATAAATATCAATGTTATTATAAGATTCAATTTATTTTTACGAAATATGTTTAAAGGGATTATTTATTATTGGTTTAAGCCCTTGTTTCACAGAGCTTTTAAGGTTGAGGGAAACATCCCGCCGCGATGCATGCCACCGAACATTTGCCAAACGCGGCATTGCAAGCTAGAATGGCTACTGGAGTCCCAACCCCGGCGGTGACAGTCCCGAATACCGCACCAGCCGCGGAGTAGCAAGCGACTTAGGGCAAAGCAGTAATAATCGAGTGTGGAATAAAAATCTCATAGAACTTACCTACTACTTCACTGCAGCCTGCTTGGCATATCCCATACGAAAGCGGGCCACCCTAAAATATTAACAACTTTAAAAAATTAATAACTTTTAAGCAGTTATTAAAGTTACCCTTACGAATGGTAGGGCTATTAATAAAAGATAGAATAACAACTTCATAATAAAATAAAAACTTAAAAACGTTCCCTTCAACCCGCAGAGAGCAAAATCCCTTAGAACTTCAAAATTCCAACGTTTAATGTGGAGTTTTAGTAAGCTTAAATAGTCTAGAATCTATAACCTATTTATGAATGGTTACTGCACAGATATATTAACTATGAAATTTTACTTTTTACTTGATGGCCGTTGTTGGTAAGGATCTACAGTGAGCAACTAGATAAGATATATACTATGCAATCGTGGCTTAAGCGCTTTGCGTTTAAAATAATTTTAACTGGTAGATTTATTTTTTTAGATAACTTTTATAACTGTCGTCTAGAGAGATAATGATTAGATTCTAATAAAAAGTGATAGTTGTATATATGAACTTTTAGGTATAACTTAGACCAAATGCACTATATAGCAATCGTTTCGAGTGGGTACTTTTCCTCAGCGGTTAGAAAAAAGTTAGTGTAATTTGGGACAGCAATCATTATAGAAATCTTTTGTTTTTTAGTTAAAATCAACTATTTCCGATTTGTTGATGGCATAATAACCTCAAAAAATTCTTTTAACCAATACGGTAAGTTGTAAAAACATGTCAGTAACTAATCTCCCATTAATTGTTTGTAAAAAACCTGATTTTTCATGTTAGTAAGCTATTACGAGCTTATAATTCGAAATTATTTCTAGTCTATCAACATGAATGGCATACCGAAGAAATCTCTTTTTAATATACCATATAAGCTATATATGACTTAAAAAAGATATCTAAGTCTTTCTTGCTATCATTTTACTTGCACTCATCTTTATCTTTTGATGAGATGGTATAAATTTTTTCAAAAAATTATTAACGGTATAAACCATTAGAGATTTTAGCAATTTACTATTATAGCCTATTTTTAGAATCTGGTAAAAAAAAATTTAGTAAGAGGCCAAAAATACTATTCGACGTACATGAGATCTTATTCCTGTCAGTCATAGTCGCAGTATGGTACCGGGAGATGTGCACTGTTTGAGCTTTGATAAAGATATAAACTGAGTTCCTTGTCGTTAGTTTTATGAACAATTCCGTATGGGACTTTTAAATAAATAAATCTAGAAAGGATAGAGAATTGTTTGAAAAATCTACAAACTCCATTTTAATTTAGTACGTTGTAACATATAGTACGTTAAAGTCAGCAAGTTGAACTTTATAATTTTTTTACCCGTATGAGCAATGTACCCTCCATATACCTTTTATACAACTTTATATAAGGGGAAATTTTATAAAATTTTACGCTTCATTATAAGCCTAATATAAAATAGTTAAAACTAGAGCGGTAATATTCCGCTTATAATTTTTTACTTTACTCACATGTATATGTGGGCTTGGTCACCTATAGGAAAGCTTAGGTTTTGTTTAATTTCTTTACGTCGGGGTGTCAACCTTTTTCCAGTTCTTCTTCTTGTTCTTATCCCTATTCTTAATCATCATCTTTATCTTGTTCTTATTTTGATTCCAGTTCTTTTCGTTTCTAATTTGCACTTATTAAAATATTGAAAACAAACATATATTTATACTATTTTTATTTACACTTATCCCTGCCCTTCCCGTCTTTATAGAAGTAACTTCCTTTAGGGTAGTAACAGGTATCTCTCCCCGAGAGTTTTTTAAACTCGCATTCAGCACAGTGTAGAAAAAAATTATTTCATTTTTTTTGTACAAATGACCCAAGATTAAAAAAATGTTTATTCTACAGACTGAGTAAATTTTTTCCACTCCACCTCGAAAAGTCTAACAACTGGAACAATCCCGAATCACACATATTTCAGTTCGCGTAGCTTGGTGCATCGAAGCATCTGTACAGGGCAAACGTGTCAAACTTAAGTGTTAAAAAACAGTTATATTAAAATTTTTTAAGATTGCTTTTACTGTCTGTTTTAATTATTAAAAAAAAGTTTTTTCAATGAATTTTGTTGCTATATGGTAAAGTTTTTATCTATCGATTATAAAACTTGTTTATTTTTGACTTTTATTAAATAAATAGGGCCTTTTTTTACCTGATATCTATTTTCACAAAAAATGTTTGTAGTTGCAGTGTAATGGTTTTATTCTAAACGCTTATATAAATCTGTATTACTTTTAATATTACCTTTGCTTTTACGGAAAATCTATGACTTATTCTTGTATCACGAAGACATTCAACGGAGATGTAATTTGTTCTCTTTCCGTTTACACTTTCTAAAGTTGTAAATTATCTGGATTTGTTATTTTTGTTATAAAAAACTTCTTTTAAAAAAAATATAACTTCAAAGTTTTCGTGTACGCTGGTTAGACTATGCACTTCAATTTTTTGTCGCTCTACAAGAGGACCTCTCTATAAAAATACCCTTTTTTAAGAAAATTTTCTTTTATCAATGATTTATAAATTATATAAAATACGTAGATTTTTGCATTGCCAAAAAGTGTATTAAATTAGAAAAACAAAAGGGGTAACACATGCATAGCTAAATATTTTACTTGAAAGGGTATTAAAAAATTGATAGGATAATTATAATATTATAATAAATTACAGAATTCATGATCGCGTTTATAATAATTAAAAAGTAGTTCTTATATAGGACATACTTTAAAAGAATCGGGGTAATTGTTTTAAACTGTATATATACGTGAAGGTAGAACGTTTGAGGGCACAGCATATGCACACCACCATTTGTTTATAACTGTAAATTGTTTGTTAGTTCAAAGGGATGCTGTGCTTTATAGCAGTTTCAAATATTAAAAGAAACTAAATTGTTTTAACTGTCTTGTTAAACTGAATTTTAAATATATTACTTATAATATATAATTAATAAAACTTTAAGTATATTAAATTAACAAGTATAATAATAAAAATATTATCCGTCTTTATAAACAGGTATTTTATACTATAAAGCTTCGGCTAAGTTTGGGAGTATATAAGGGTAAATTTTGGCTACACAGCAGTCTTCGTTTTCTGTTAAATCATGTTTTGTAATTTTTTTGAAGTTGGATTCCAAAGATCTAAAGTAGTGACTCCTTCTCTTTCTTTAAATATGTAAGTTAAGAAATAACTTTATTTATACACGTCTTATAACTAGTTCATTTTAGTTGAAAACAGTATAGTAATTAAAATTTCCGTTAATTTTTTTTAATTTTACATCTTTTCTGAAGTGTAAGATGTCTTCATTATCCCCGTGTTGCTCTTCCTGGCATAATTAAAGATCCCGAACCCGAATTTGAGAAGCCTGTACCGAATACTGTTAGCGTAGTAGTGCAAACAAAGCTTCTGAGCTATAATATATATTTTTATAGTATTCAACTAAATTGTTGAACCTGAAAGGAGGCTATAGAAAGCTAAATTATTGTGCTAAACAAGTTTGGAAATTTTATAACATATAAATTTTTTTTAGAATTGCTTTTATCAAATACTGTAAGCAAACTTTATTAGGTTCGAAGAAGTAAAGTTGACGACGCAATTATCCAAATGGACTTTTCTCCTAAATTAGCTGCAGATAATGTTAAACGAGTAATTATATTATATTTTGAATTATTTACATCTAACCCTTTTATTAAAATTAGATTCTTTATAACGTTCGAAGAAAAGCAAGGGACAAGGGGAATACTAATGAATTATATATAAGTACAAGTATTTTTTAAATTGAAATTGTTCACATTAATTTTTTTTTTTTTAGGCAAATGCTGGGTTGGTAAAGCTCAGTATACCAAAAGTATTGATTATAAGGCAAGAGGAAGATGTGGATATAAATTTGGTTACTACAGCCATTTATTTGTAGAAATTCAGGTTTTGAAATTTTTGTAGTACTACAAAAATCATTTTTTCTCAAAATTTGTTGTATAACATATTTTAGGATCAGCCACTTCCTATGAAATCTTTGAAAAGGCGAGCCAGAAAAGCATTTAAATTAAAACAATCTCTTTCCCCTTTACCAATTTTATTTAACATATAAATAAAAATAATTTTTTATTTAATTATCAAGTTTGAGCATACTCCGCGATTGCAATTATTGCTTAAATTTTTATTGAACCTTAAATTTATATTATTATAAGATTGAAAATAGAAAATACATGGTTTTCTTATCAATTAAAAAAAAGTAGTTTAAGTGGAATAATTAAAACAGTACTTTTAGTTAAAACGTTTTGTAAAGATTTGCCTAACTACCACTAAAAAATTGTTACAAGCATTTCAAAAAGAATTGGAAAACTTCTTTATGTTTATTATTATTTACTGTGAGAGTTTACTCTTTTTTTTTCCTTTATTTTAATAATACTAATAAAATTTTAAATTAAAATTTATAATTGGTTATTTCGTTTTTTTTAAAATTTGTTCTTAATTTTACTAGAAATTCTTATTTTTATACATTATTATTTTAGTCTGTTGAAATCTTTAAACTGATAAAAGTAGCTCATATGAAAATTTTATTTAGAAGTGGGCTTCATATAAAGTTAACCGACGTAAAAGTTTTTAGTATAAATAATTATATATATTAAAAGACGTACGAAAATTTAAACACAACTCAGTTTTATGCAAAACGATAAGTAGAAAGTAAAAACTATCGTTACCACTATGGTGATTTCTACTTATATAACAAGGAATATACTTATTATTTTTATTATTACTAATAATTTTATTTTTTTAGCTGTATACATTATTTTTAATAGTCGCTAACAGTCATATTATTATTAATGACGCCTTTATGAGCACTAATAGTCAAAAGATTAGTGCTACTCCTACTACTATTATTAAAACTAGCTGTTTCACCATTAATAGACTCACCTGTGATCACCTTTGAAGTCTCGCTATCTTCCAGTGTCACTATAAATGCAATTGGTTGATCTAGAAGTTTTCAGGCCGAACATACATTATTATTGTTAGTTATACTATCAAAAGAATCATTTGTCTTCTAGACTTAACTACATCCTGTGTGATTTAGTAACTTAAAGAAATTTTTGCTCTTATGATCTAACTCTTTTCTGAGTTCTTCATTCATAGTAAATAAGTTAGCCTAACTGCTCGAAGCCCATCTTCAGGGAGGGGGTTCAAAATTAATATTAAGGAAATATAAATTTTCTGGTAAAAATTAAAAAAAATTACCAAGTAAATATATAATAAAGATATATAGAGTCTGTAATACATAGCCAGTAGTTATGAAGTTTCGTGGTTTAAGTTTTCAATATATATAAGTATATTTTATATAAACCGCTAAGTATCTAAGTTAAATATTTATAGCAAATTCTAAGAAGTCGATGTCGGTGATTATGCGCCACGCATATTAAAAGCATTGCCTGCTGCAATTAGGAAGAACCCATTACAATTAAAGGATAATTAGAACATCGCAAAGGGCGACATTCCGTAAAATATAAGGCGCACCAGCCTCTACCGCCGTGGACTATGAAAACTCCCTTCTGAGGGGTTCATAGGCCCTAGAGTAACGTTTGCTTAAAAAAATAAAAAGCGGTTTCTTTTCGTAAGGTTGAAAGTCACGCTTCCGTTAGTGACACCAGCTAGCAAGCGTTGCAGCTGGTCTAAGATTTACGAAGACATCGTAAACCTTTGCATAACGATGAAAGTAGAGAACTCTTCGAAACGTCTGGTTTTAGCGGTTGTAGCGATGACAGCGTATAGCACAGCTTTTTTTGCAAGACACGGTTTTTCAATAAGTCTTAGGGAACTTCGTGAGCCGCTCCCACTCATGCCAATTGAGCTTGCGTGCCACAAACCTGGAGATGGCCAGGGAACACGGTTTGCAAGATTTTCTATAATTAACATTGCAAGCTTGTTCAAGCTATGAAGCACAAGAGTACTTCACTAAAATTTAAGCAATCTATCGCATATCTCCGTAATATCTTATTCGGTGCGTCGTAACATAGCAGCCTAATGGACAATAACGGTTCCGCGAACTCTTTGAAAAACTTCACAGTAGTAGCGAATTTTAACGCTTTGGCAAACAGTCAAGCGACATTGCATAGTATGCAAGGCAACATAGTAAACTCAGCGTCAATGACGGCCCTTCTTTCGGTATTTTAATGGTGATGCTCTCGATACCTGGAGCCTTCCTCTGCGGCAATGCGTAGATTATTATTTCGTCGGTTTTAGTAGCTGTGGTAGACCCTAATCGGTTTAATAACTTATTTTTTCTATTTTCATATATCACTGACAGCGCAGCCCTCAAGTTTTTAAGACTAATATGCTTGTAATATGATAATACACAGGATTTTAAACGCTGAGAAACCGCAAGACTTTGCACCGCGTTTAGGCTCTCTGGCCTGACGTTTGGGGCGCAGACCCCGAGTGTACTCTCACGCCCCACGACAATCCGCTATAGTTTAGTATAGATCCTTCGCCATGCGAATTATTTTGTGTATACTTTTTAAATGTCAGAAGGAATTTTTTTAAGGAAGCTTCATAATTTTGTAGTAGTTGGCGACATTTCCTCTTTAGAAAAAACTATAAAAGAAAAAAAATATCGATGTTAATATAGTAGACAAGGTTGTTCACGTAAATTTTGGATTTTACCTCAAAATTTAGGGCTTAACTTAGCATAATAGAACTCTTCTTCACTGGGCCGTGCACGGCGGAAATGAAAGACTCATTAAGTTTCTTTTAAGTAAAGGGTTGCGTCCAACTATCCGTTCTTCGGTAAATTTTAATCTTTATTTTATATTATAAAATTTTAGTCATCTCATCTTTAAGGCTGGATTATTACCAATTCACACAGCTGTGCTTTGCGGACACACCAAAGTGGTTGAGCTTTTACTTAATTCAAAACTTAAGCCTGAATACAACAGTGAACTTTTTTTGGTAGCCTTTCTTCATACTAATAACCAATTTTATATATAATTTCGCAATAATTATTTATATATATAAAGTATGACAAAATTATGCTACATTGGGCTGCTGAACAAGGAAACAGTGATATTGTTTCTCTTTTGTTAAAGGCCGGATTTGATCCCGCTGCTTTGAATTTAGTTAAGTGCTTTTTGAGTTATTTATTTTAAGAAATAGTAAAAATATCATAATTATTAAAAATATTTTTAAGAATGAAAAAAACGTGGCAGAAGTAGCGGCATTAAATGGTCATAGGGAACTGTCAGAATTCATTGAAAAAAGAATTAATAATAAACTTTCATAAAAGATTTAATATTTTTATCTTTGTACATCAACTTAGAATAAGTGAAAGCAGCGTAGTATAGCTTACTACTATATAATATGAATAAGCGCTACACCGTTTATAATAAAAGTAAAACAAACATTTACTTTTAAAAAATTAAGTACAAAAGAAAATAAATGAACTTATAATTATTTTAAAAGGGGGAGGGGTGGGTTGTTCCAGAAAAAATAGTTTCCAAGATTTAAGTTTACTTAGAAGCATTATTTACTATTATTATAGTCAGTACTACTTAGCTAACTCACATAATAATAGAATTTTCTAAATTTTAAAAACTTATCTATAATAGCGCTACACCGTTATAATAAAAGTAAACAAATATTTACATACGAAAAATAGGAGCAAAAGGAATTAAGTATATTTATATTTTTTTACGGAGCAGGATTGTTCCATAAAAAATAATTCAATTAAATTTTTCTTAAAGCATTATTATTATAGTCAGAAATATTCAGCTAGCTCGAATAAAATTATTTTGTAAGTTTTAATAAGTTGGTTATATATTAACAAAAAGGTCAGCTTTTCCTTAGTTTTCATAGCTTATATATATATAAATTTAAAATTTTACTCCTTTTTTTTAGCGATAAAATGAACAGGCGAGGCACAAAACACTAAAGTTTTTACTTTTAAATTATAAAAAATATTAATAATTATATTATACAAAAAAAAATTTAAATATACAAGTCAGCTTGACTAAAGTAAACGTTGCCTCGCTTCATATAACTCACAAACTAAACGAACTGATAACTTTTCTATTTTAACTTTTTTTATATAAATGAATACTTCGGTTACAAAATTTCTTTAGATTGTTCAAAAACATATATTGCACTGAAGTTATAGGTTTGTTAAATATTTTGTCTATGTACGCTGAGAACTATAAACGAGTTTAATATAAAATTTAAAGTACAGTAAATTAAGTTTATAAAATTTTAGACTTTGGAACAAAAACTCTTATTCGTAAAGGAAACATTTGGGTAAAATCAAATATTAACTTTAAAAAATTACTATTTACCTTAATTTTTAAAAAAAAAGATACAAAATTTAGCTAAGTGACCATCATATTACAGTATATTATTTAAAAAAAGTAAACTGCGGCTCGCTCGTTTTTCTTAAGAGCACCCCTTTTAAATATTGTTACTATTACTACTTTTGCAGATGCTGGGCAAGTTCTAAGGTAAATTGTACAATCTCAGTAACAACGTTGAGTAGTTTCTATAGAGTAAACTCGTTTTTACATAATAAACAGTATATCATATTTATTAATGGTTTGCTATGCCCATTTGAATTGTCCTTTGTAGTACTTGCAGAGCTCGCGTCAAACGCCAGCACTAGGTAAGTTTGCAACACGCTAAACCCTACACACATTGTGTAGCGCTCGTACTTTACAGAAGCATCTTTCTTGAGGGCTCTAGGGCTCCATCCCCTCAAAGAAAAGGACAGAAACGAGTGTAGCCGGGAATAAAAACTTCTCTCGGCCGCGTTAGTCATTACGTTACACTGTGAACACCGGCTGATGAGTATTCCATAAGATCAAGAGTACTGTTAGTGCTGACGCGTAGATTAGCGTGATTATGGCATAATGGGGTGTACGGGGGGGTCTGTTCAGAAGGACTGAAATATCGTAATTTTTTTTGGGTGGGAACGGCAACGCCGAGAGTACACATTCCAGAGAAGTGGTAGTCATAACAGATTGCCGTCGTAATGCGCTATACATGACCACGCAGAAACGACTCGGGGAAATAGCGGGTACGCAGCACGTCTAAACATGTAACTTGTCCGCAGAAAACATGACGGGGGCGAACAAAGACCTTCTCGCCTCTAGGGAAACAGGTTATATGGCGTCTTGCCTTCTTTTTAGATGGGCATACAATTTTTGGCTTGGTGGGAAATATTACACGTTTTACAAAATGCAAAAGGTGCTTTGCGGAGTAGTGGGCGTGTGGTAACAAAATAAAATTCTAGTAATCCATATTGCCCTCTAAATGGTTTTTTATTGGTGAGCTGACGTATATAGCCGCATTACAGAGTTCGCCAAACTGCGGTAAATTGATAAAAGTTTTAATAAGCTTGAAAGAGTTAAAAAGAAGTTTTCATTAGCCGCTTTATACAAATTTCGCAGTTCAGCCTTTCAATGCTATCAACTGTTTTTCTAATGTGTCTATGAAGTGTGTAGATCTTATTACAAGAAGCACCGCACTGTCTATGCCTTTAACACCCAAAGGTGTTAAGTGAAGGGCGAAGCTAAGGGGGGGGAGGCTGTTAGCTGGTGCGACTCCAGCACTACCAATAAGGAAGAAAGCTCCACGGTCGATGGGGTGGGTGTCAGGTCTGCTTTGAAAGTTTCTCGAGATTTAAATTGGTGATGGCGACTCTACTACGAAGGGTCTTGGCCTATAAGCAACCGACAGTGTTTTAACCTCTTACGGTGCTAAAAAAAGTCTCTCAGGTCAAAACTTAGGCCTAATGATCATAAGCGAAACCTTTAATACATTGGGGTAAATTCCCCTCTCTACCTCTGCTTTGAACCAAGAAGAACAATATTTCTGCGCATCAAACGGCTGCGAAATATGTGCGTACGCTCTTTACTAACCCATCTGATTTCTTGGAAAAGACAATGACACTTTAGCGAATTCAAGCGATCAATGGCCGACGCACATTATTTGCTGGCAGCGACATGTTGCGTGACGATCTTTTCTAGTGCAACTACTGCTTCTTTTAAACATGTGGGTTCAAGAAGTTATATACATACTCTAATTACACGCACCTTTTCGACGGCTAAACAAAATAATTAAATGTTTTTATATAAAATAAATAAAGAGATTCACAATAATATTTAATGCAAAACTAAGCAGTTTGTGCTCCATTTTTTTTCGACGTCTTCGCAAATTATTGAGATTAAGTTAGATTAATTTTTAGAATTTTTCTTTTCCAAAGAATAAAGGGTCAAATTTTGCTTAATACGTGTTGGTAAAAATTATTTTTAAAAAAAATCCGACTTTCTAGTAGCAAATTTCTAGTTATTCATAAATCATTAGATTGGGGGTCTTTAGTGAGGCCCGTTGTGTGTATTTTTTAAGAAAACTCTGAGGTGTGTTTTGGTTGTTTGCATAAAATATTTTCTTGTATTTATTACGTTTGACATTTGTCTTTCAGTGTTTATATGTATCAGTAATACTATTATCTATTATACGTATGTCAGTTACGGTTTCCAAAAATTATTCGTTGTAAGATAAACAAATACATATTTGGTTTTTGAACAGGAAGTTTTTATTTATAACTGTAAATAAAAATTATAACAAATAAATAATCTGTCTCCTCTTTTTTTTTTTACAATTTACTTGTTAGCTTGTTGTGCTACTCAAGCGGCTCAAAAGACATATTTTTTCAGTACCTTTTAAAAAATTTATATAGAAGCTTTTATTACTTTTATAAGTTTCGAGTTAAATTTTTTTTTTCCTATAGTAATTTATTTTATAAAAAAAATTTTTTAAATCACTTTTGTATTATATTCAATTATTATTATAGTACTTTTAAGCTATACCTAATTTACTTTAATTTTTTGAAGCTGTGTAGTTTCCTTTAAAATAAATTGTAATTTTTCCTACGTTGACAACGATGTTCTTATGCTAAAAAAAATATTTTTATTATTCTTATTAATTTCCTTTTTTTGAATCAAATTTGTACTCTTTATCTATTATAAATCATACAGAATTATAGCAAGAACTAATAATTTAATAAATAAAGTAAAATAATATAGAATATAATAATTACAAAAAATATAATTTACAAAACCTTATAATTAACATTAAAAAATATATTAATAGTCTTTTATCATAAAAGGCTAGGTTTTTTTTTTAAAAAGACTTAAATAATAAAAACGAATTAATATTTAAAAAAGGAGTATATATTCTTTTTGCTACGAATTCAATAAAAAAGTAAACTTTAAAATAATACCATCAAAAAAAATAAGAAACATTCCGAACAGAATTACTGCAAATTCAAGTAATTTATGAAAATAATCACTTAATATCCTTTTTGTTTAGCTCTCTTTTTCTTTTAAACAGAGTACTTAAGTTGAAATGGCTCTTACTTTTCTGCTAAGTTTTTATATGTAATATTATATTAAAAAAAACTACTTTAAGTTTATATTAATAATTCAGCACCAATAACTAAATTACATATACGATAATTCGTAAAATATAAAAAATATTTAAAGAATTAAAATTATAAAAAAGCACACAAATTTGTTATTATTTTTAATGTCTTTTCCAGTTCTAGCATGTCGTCCTTAGCGATTAACTATAGCGTCTCTAACGTAACACTGGAAGAGAAAGCAAAATAAAGTTCTATAGAATTATGAGTTTGCCCTGACATTAAAGGTCTGAAGACTCATCTTGAAGTAGTCATGTAGTTGTAGGTACTCAGTTAAACTTAGGAATTCGAATTTATTAAATTTTTTATTTGATTTAATTATTTTTATTAAAATTTCCTTTTAAAAGATATTAGCGCTCTCTCTCTAATATTTCTTTGCCAATTGCGAATCTCTTTATAACTCATTTTAAATACCTTTTCTGGTTATAATATTCTAAATAATAATTTCAGTTATGCTTTTTACCTATTTTTAATTAACGATAAGGATCACTCTCACGAATCTAAGATTTGGTTAACTAGCGATATCACAGGCTGTAAATCTTCGAGAGCTTGTATATTATAGACAGCAAAGTAATATAATATAGATATAAAGTATATTGAAGAAAATAAAGTAATAAGGTACAAGAAAGTCGAATTACCAGAAAGCACTATAAACTTAGTTGATTACTATAGACTCCCAGTCGCACTAAACCGACCGGACAACAACAAGCAAAGAAAGGGTAAAATAAATTCTACAGAAAATATAATAACGTGTGCACTTCCTAGAAAACTGGCTCATTCTATAAACAAGGCCGCAAAATTTAAAAACTCATCGAGTTACAAGTTGCAATATCTTTTTATGCATAAATTATATATATATATATATAATATATCAATAGTAAAAGCAGTAATAATAAATATATAATTATCTAACGGAATTAATTTTTAGATACAAATAAGAAGAACAATAACCAAAGGAAACTTTCCTTTTTTAATAAAATTCTCTGCTTTATTTAAGAATTATAAACTCATAATAACAATATATAAAAATTAAAACTTTACAATTTCCATGTTCCACTTTTAACCACTTCAAAAAAAAATACTTTAGAACTTCTTGATAAATTGATATAGAGATAACTTGCATATAAAATCCACGATAACTAGAGATGTATTAATACAACTTCGAGCTAAACGGGTCATAATGATTTTTAATTTCTTCATTTTCATAAAAGTTATATATAAATTCAACAACAACAATAAAAAACAACACGTTGTCAATTTTTTTGAGCAAGTAAACAAATTTTAGTTAAAAAACAAAAATAAAAGTAAAAATTATAATCACAATGTAAAATTGATTTAATAGTTTTTTATTATTAAAATAAATTCTTTTACGGCTCCTCTTTAAATAATAATCCAAGATTTTCAATTTCACTCAATCGATTTTGCTTCTCGTGAAATTTTTTTTCACCTTCTGCTGTACAAAAAAAGAACGACTGCCAGTTTTCATAATAAGTTGGAAGTTTGCCTTGAAGAGAAACTTTACACTATTAAAAAAAGTATAATAATAATAATTATTAATCAAAAAAAATTAAATAAAAATTAAATTATTAAGAAAAATTAAAACTAAACTAAAAGTTTAATGAAAAAAGCATCGTGAAAATAATAATTAAAATTAAACAGAAATAACTTAGTAATAAGTAAAATAAATTAAAAAAACTAAAAAAATAAAATAAGCACAAATATTATAATTTAAAAAAGTTTAAGAATAGAACCATAAAGAGAGTTGTTATAATTAAACCAATATTAACTGTTAACAAAAAAAATAATTTTTTTTCAGTAATAACTTGAAAATAAATTTTCTTCCAGTAAAAAAGAAAAAATATCTTTTAGTACTTTGGTAACTTTTTTGCTCAAAATTTACAAAAGTATAGTAAAGATAATAATAAAAAATTATAATTAAAGTAAAAATAAAGAAATAGAAAATTAGATTTATTTAAAAAAATTGAAAAATTAAAATTTTACTTTGAGTAATAATATATATATATATAATAACAATTTAATAGTTACTCTGCTTAAAAGTTAAATAATTTTAATAATAAAAAACAAGAATTAAATAATAATATAATTCCATTTTAAAAAAAATTTTTTTTCAGATAATAATAAGAAAATTATTTGTTAGAAGTTTTGAAGTTTTATGCTTAAACAGGCTTAAAAAAATTAACAAAATGAAAATTAAAAAATTAAATTGTTTACGAAATTAATTTTTTTTTAAAGGTTAATTATTAATTTATTTTACCACCGATAAAAAAAAAATTTGCTAAAAAAAAATAAGAATAAGAAATATAAAATAAAAGAAGATTTTATTTAGATATTTTAAAATTTTTTTTTTTTTAAATTAAAAAAAGTATATACTTTCATCAGCAGAGTAAAACTAAAGTATTAGTAGTACTTTTGCTTAAAATAAAAGAGAAATGGTAAACAGAAAAAACAATGAAGAAAAAATATAATTAATAAAAAATTAAAAAATTATTATTTTAAAAATTAAATTTTTCGAGGAAAATTTAATTTAATTTTTTTTATTTACGGTAAAGAAGAAGAAAAGCTTTAAAAAGTTTTATACTTCAGTTTTATTGTTTATAATAATATAAAAAAAAAATTTTAAGAAATTTAAATGTTTAACTTAAGAAAATTCAATTAAAATTTATTTTTACTTCCAGTAGAGATGAAAAAAAAATAACTAAAAAAGTTTTATGATATTTTTGTTTAATAATTAATCAAATACTCGTTATTATAAAAAAATTTAGAATATAGAAACAAAAAAAAAATGAATAAATTATTTTCTTTATAAATCAAACTTCTTTTTTTGAATACTTAAAAATTAAAAAATATAATTTTTAAGTAGTTCCTTTACTTTCAGTTTTTTTGCTTCAACAATAAAAAAAAGTTTAGTAAAAAAAAGAGTGAATAATATAATAATGATTGGAATTATTTATTTTTGTTAAGATTTTGAAATATATTATCTAAATCTTACAATATTTTTATACTTATTTAACTTAGCAATAAACAAATTTTAATATAAAGAAAAAATATTAAAAAAATTAAAAGTAAAAATATTTTTTTAATAAATTAAATTTATAAACTTTATTTAGAAGAGGAGAACTCTAACAATTTTTTTGGTATGCAAAAATAAATTTTTAATAAAAAAGGCGTGAAAAATATAAAAGTGATACAAATTTATTTTTTTTCTGAAATCCAAATTTTAAAAAAAATTTTTTTAAACAGATTTCAAGTTTTTTATTTTTTAAACGATAAAGTATAATAAAAGAAATAAATAAAGAAAAATTTTAATTTGAACTAAAAAAATAATTTTTCCTTAATTAGAAATTGTTTTAATTTCCAGTAGTAAGGTAAATTCAGTAAAAAATAAACTTCTTTTTTACTTCAATATATATAAAAATTTGATATAAAGAAAAACAAAGAAAAATATGATAAAAATATAATTTAAACTGAATTTTCTTTTTAAAAATTGGACATTAAAAAAGTTTGTTATTCTAAATAATAATAATAATATAAAAATAATTTAGTAATAATTTTATTTTTATAATATATTTTTTATTTTAGTCAGAATTTGTTTTAATTTCCAGTGGAGAAATATTAAAATCTGAAAAAATAGATTTTTTTAAAAATTAAATTTTTTTTTAAAAAGATTAGAAAATTTTTTATTACTTCCGAAAAGAAAAATAGAAATCTTTCCACAATTTTATAGATTTCTTAACCAGTAAATATAAATTTTAACCATTAAAAAAAATTAAAATTTTTAAATTAAAAATAATTACTACTTGTAGTAGAAAAATTCTTTAATAATTTTTATACTTTCAGCTTTTTGCTTAAAATTTGAAAAAGTTAAATATAAAAATAACTAAATTTAAAATTATTATTTTTAAAAATTCTAAATTTTGAAGTTTTTTTCTTCCAGTAGAAAAAAGTTAAAATCTTTAAACACTTTTACTTTGTACTAATCAAATTCTATAAAAATAATAATAATAGAAATAAATATTCAAATTTTTTTTATTTTAAAAAAATTTAAACTTGAAAAATTATTTTTTTTTGCTTCAATAATTATAAGCTTATATGCGTATTAAAATATTAAAAAATAAAAATAAAAATTATTTTTTTTTAGTTTAAATTTTTTTGACTCTTTAAAAAGTTTTACTTTATATTAATACAGTTTCATAAATATTAAACTATATAAAATAAAAATTAAAAAAATTGGTAAGATATTATTACTTTCAGTAGAGGAGAAAAAAATTCTCTAAAAAGCTTTATACTTCCCGTCCTTTTGCTGGAATTTATCAATAATTTTTTTATTTGTTCATCAAAATGCTAAACAAAATAAAATATTTTATATTAAAGTTGAAAGATATAGTTTGTTTAAAAGAAATATAAAAACTTTTATTTGCTCAACTGTAAAGCCGTATTTTTCTAAAATATTAAAAAATAGAAGACTTGCATGCTGATTATAAATAATAATAATTAAAATAATGATTAAAGTAAGTAATAAAAATATGAAAATAAATAATAATTATAATGAGAATTTTTAAGTAAAATAAATAATAATAATACTTCATGTATAAGAAAAAGCGAAGAAATAAGATAACGGCCCACTTGCTCCTCGTTTCCGTGAATTTTATAAGACTGTCTTATTAGGCAAATCATTCATATCGCAAAAAAAAAAATATCCAGTAAAATACGCTTAAAATGGCTCGAAAATAAGCGGGAACTAGCCAATGAGCGTTTGACTCTAATATGAATCGGATCAATGCGCTGCCGGTACGAGCACTCCAGTAAGCAGCGCCTTTAAGTTTATTAATATCATTATTAAACTTTTCTCTTGTGAATTTTATCTTGTTATTATACTTTACTATTTTTACTTTTTATTTTTATTTTTAATAAATAAACTTTTATCAGGCCAAAGTAGACTCGAGAGCACCACGTGACTAAAAAGATGAAATAAAGAATTTTCAGTGGTTGCAAATTTCATATATTCACTAATAACTTCATTTTCTACCCAAAAAAAATTTTTATATTTTCATATATATAAAAAATAAGACATAAAAAATATACAAAAACATAAAAAAAATAAAACCATCAACGAGAGCACTTGATAAGCACTTGCAAAAAATGAGAGTATTTTCGCTTAACAACGTTTTATATAAAACCTTATATACAAAAAAATAAAAATATGCACTATAAATAATTTTATAAAAAGAATAGTACTTCACTAATCTTATTATCATCATTATTGTTGGCGGAAAGTTGGTTAAATTTGTGCCACGCGCACTCCAAAGCGTTAAAAAGTAGCTGTACCACTTGAACGACAACTGCTAGCCAGTCAGAATGATAATAAATAATAAAAATAATAGAAAAAACAAACACGTGGCTGAACGGGTCCAAAGCTCCAATGAGCATTCGGCAAAAAGTGGGTGAAGCACGTGCACTATAGAATCAGTTTTTTTATTGAATTTTAATATTTTTTTTAATAAACTTCACAAAATAATGAAAATTACGAATAATGTATTTATAGTGGCGCGCTTCAGTAAACTGGAAGTCGCAGGAAACGGCAGAATATATAATCTTAGAAAAAACATTAAATATTAAATAAAATAAATATAATGAAAATAAAAAAATAATAAAAAAGTTAAATAATTATAATAATAAAAATAAAAGTTGAAAAATAATAAAATGATGAATAAAGGTGTATATTTAAGAAGAAAAAAGTTAAATTATAACTAAAATACTGATATATTAAAAAGTAAAACGATGAAAAATAATAATAATAAAAAATAAAACAATAAAATAAAAAAATTTTAATAATAAAAATAAAAATAATATTAAAAAATAACAAAAACGATGAATGAAAAATATAATAGTAAAAACAAATATATAATAATAATAATTATAAATAAGAATAATAAGTAAAATACTATTTTAAGGAAAATATGAAAACGATGAAAACAAAAGTAAAAAATAAGAATAAAACAAAATACATAAGGATTAATAAAAATAATCATCCATGTATACAAGTGTGAACTATTAATAAAAAGATGAATAAAAAATAGTAAATATATAAAAAGGTTTAAAAATAAGTATAAATATAATAAAATATTAAGAAAATTATAATAACGATAAAAATAAAAAACTTATTTCAAGAATAAATAAAACAATAAAGAAATAATAGTGAAAAAATTTACAATAAAAAATAAATAGTCATAAATAAAATATAATAATAATGAAAGATAAAATATAATTAAAAGAAGTAATATAATAATAATAAAAAAATAATAACAATAAAATTTATATAAAATTATTTAGTAATAAATAAAAAATATATAATATAATAATTATGAAAAATTATAATTTACATAAAGAATAATAATAATAATAATGAAAATAAAAAGTTATAATAAAACAAAATATTATTAAAAAATATTAAAAATGATGAAAAAATTTATACTAAAAACAATAATAATAATAATAAAAACAATGAAACTAAAAATAATAAATAAAAATAATGAAATTAAAAAGTATACATTAAAAAATAAAATAACATTAAATAAATAATAAAAATTTATAGTGAAAAATAAAAAGTAAAATATATTAATAAAAAATAATAATAAAAATGAAAAAAAATAATGAATGAAAAAAATAAAATAATAAATAATAAATAATAAATAATAAATAATATAAAAATATGTGAAGAATAAAATAATTATTATTATTATAAAACAAAAAATTAAAAAATTACAAACTTAAGAAAATAAAATAAAAATAACGGAAATAAAATAATAAAACAAAAATAATAAATTATAAAAAGTAACAATAAAAATAATGGAAATAACAAATTTTATAAAAAAATGAAAATTATATAAAAATAATTGATAATAATAAGAATAAGTTTAATAAAATTTAAAAATAACAATAAAAGTAATAAAAATAAAAAAACAATAAATTATAAAACTAAAAACTTTTATAAAATAATAATAATAAAAAATATAAATAATAATAAAGAGTATATAATAGTAATAATAAAAAAATAAAACAATATAAAATATAAATAATAATAATAAAAGTAAAGAAAATAATTTATTAAAAATTGTAAATTGCATTTATTAATAATAAATAATAATAAAAAATAATAAAAACAAAACCCCTAAAAAGTGGTCTTCATAGAAAAATGAAAAAGAAAAAAAATTATTGAGAATGCGATAAGAAAGCTCCCGAATTTGTTCTGAAAAAAGTTTATATTAGTTTTTACTAATTAATTTATTGTTTAATAATAATAATAAATTATAATAATCACCCAGCCAATGACGAAGAGAAGAAACAGCGGAATTTTCCCGATCCAAATAGCCGCTATCTACCACGTGGCCATCTTATAGGGTCACCAGTAAGAAATATGCTTAGGAAAAATTATAAACTACTCACAAACTTTAATCTGCTGGTCGTGCTCTCCAAGCGCCAAAGCGCTGCGAGGAAAGGCGGTTTCCACGTGGTCCTGTCGCCAAAGGCCTGACAGACAGCTCAATAACGCCGTAACATTAAGCAAAAGCCACTCTGCCATGCGCTGATATCGAAGATCGGCCAATAGTGCGGCGTTATTTTTTCCTACAAAGTAACGCAGTTAGCCAAAAAGAGAAAGCACTTATTTAAAATGAGCATTGATTGGCGAAGTGATAAAAATAAATTCCTTTTTTTGATACGGCAAGAAACATATCGAGGCAACCCAAGACCTTTTAAGCAAATTAAATAATGAAAGAAATAAACAAATCCTAATCTAGAAAAAACCGAAACACGGAGTAAAAAGTTGAATTCATTATCTTCTGTTCCAATAAAACTAATAAAGTGGGAAGTATCAAGTAAATAACTTGATACTTCGCGTGTCCAAAAGTTTAAAAACTAATAAAGTGATAATAATTATCATAATTATTAGCGAAACAATTCAATTAATGACAAGTAAGTATTAAAAATTTAAATTAATTAAATAGCGTAATTGCTTAATGATAAAATCAAAAATAGCTTAGAAACTTTATCCAATGACGAACAAGTATTAAAAAGTTATAGTAAACGAATAGCGTGCAATAATAATTACTTTAAAAAATTATAATCCAAAAAAACTTTTCAAGCAATCAACAGAGTAATAATAATGACATAAAAACAATAAATACTTTAAAATTTCAAAATTAAAACCAATCAAATAGAGTAATAATAACTACATGAAAAACCAAAAGGCTAAAAAAACTTTAAACCATTAAAAAAAATTACTAAGATAATTAAATTAATTAATATAGCGTAGTATGTTGATAAAGTAGCCAGATAATTAACCAATAAAAACTAAGTATTAAAATTTTAAACCAATCAACTAACGAAATTTGATTAAAAAGCAAAAATAATAATTGTTAAAAAAATCTCAACCATGAATAAGTATTAGAATATTAAACCAGTCAAATTGCGAAATAAATAAAATTAGACAACCGGCTCTAAAAGGTCCAGCATAAACACGAGGCATTCGTCCGTATTCTGTACGTACGCACTTAAAAAATTCATAAAAAAAATTATATATACTTTCTTATTAAAAATAGTAAAAGTATTATTATAGAATAATGATAATAGTAAATCTATAACAGTAATAATAAAGAAATTTTTAAAGTAATTTTTACATAAAAAACTTTTATTTTATAAAATATTATTATTTGAAAAAAAATAATAGAAGGAAAAAGTATTAAAAACTTCATTATAGAAAAGTTTATATTATAATTAATAAAAACAATAAATTTTGTAAAAACTTTTAAAAAAGTATTTTATATAATAATAATAAAAGAAAAAATCTTAAAATTTTCATTATATAAAAATTTTTATCATAAAAATAATAATAAAACGTTTAATAATACTTTATTATTGAAAAAATTCTATTTATAGGATATTTATTTAAAAAAATAATAAAATATGAATAATTTTAATTAATAAAAGTTTGTAGGATTAATAATATTTTATAAAAATACTAAGAAAAAGTTTCGTAAGAACTTTATTACATAAAAGTTTATATAATAAATAATAATAATAACAAGGAAAAAAAAGTTTTCTTAAAAATTTATTATAAAAAGTTTTTATTATTATAACAATAATATTATTATTTTATGTTAAAAAAAATTTATAATATCAAATAGAAGAATAAAGTAAGAGTTTATATGGTTAATAACAATGAAATTATTACTACTCAAAAAAAAAATAAATAAAAAGAAAAATTAATTATAAAAGTTATTAAAAATAAGAAGAAAAAAGTTTTATAAAAATTCATCATATAAAAGTATATGGTAATAATAAAATTATAATTTAGGAAAAAAAATAAAAAAAGAAAAAGGAAGTTTTCTTTTTCTATAATAAAAATATATTAATATTATTGAAAAAAATAATAAAGGGAGAAAAGTAATAAAGAAGTTTATAAATATAATAAAAATAAGAAGGATAAATTATATAAGAACTTCATAATAAAAAAGACTAAAGATTATTGTGATAATAATAAAAGGGGAGATGTTTTTTTTAAAAAATTAATTTAAAAAGTATTTATTTTTAATATTATTCAGAAAAAAAGACAGTAAAAGAGAAAAGCGATAAAAAAAAGTTTAATAAAAACTTCATTATAAAATAGTTTATATAATAAATAATAAAAGTTCTTTAAAGAAAAAAAGTAAAAATAAGGAAGAAGAGTTTTTTTATTTTTATGATAATTTTATTATTCAAAAATTCATGAAAAATTAATAGAATAGTTAATAAAGTAATAACAAGAAAATGGTTTTATAAGAACTTTATTATAAAAAAGATTAAAACATAAATAATAATACAATTACCATTTAGAGAAAATAATAACCATAACAGAGAAAAGATTATAAAAATTTTTATAAAAGTTCTTTATTTTTAAATAATAATATTATTATTCATAAAAAAAATAAAAGGGAAAAGTATTATAATAGTTAATAAAAAAAATAATATTAATTCTAATTTTAAAGTTTAATAAAAATATTATTATAAAAAAATTTATATTATTAATATCATTTAAAAAAATTAAAAAAATGGGAAAAAAGTACTCATTTTTTATAATAATAATACTATATTAAAAATAATAAAATAAGTAAATATTAAAATAAGATTATTAAAAGTTTATAGAAAGTAATAATACTATTAGTAATAGCAAAAATAATAGAACGATAATCAAACTTAAAAAAGGTTATTACTGATAATATATTATCGAAAAGTGTTTAAAAATAATAAAAATAAATAATTATTATAAAAAATATATATTATAATAAAAAGTTTTAAAAGTAATAATACAAAAAAGTTATTACAAAAAAAAAAAAATAAGAATTAAAAAAGTTGATATTATAAAAAAATTAAATAGTAAAAATAATAAATATAAAAATATAATAATGTTACAAAAGTAATAAAAAGAAATAACTTAAAAAGTTGTTATTATTATAAAAAAAATTATATAAACGATTTTAGAAATAATAATAATAACAAAAAAGAAATATTAATGAAAATAAAAAAAGTTTTTAATAATAGAAATAAAAATAATATAAAATTATTAAAAAAATAATAATAGTAATAATAACAGAAATATATAGTAATTATTAGTAAAAATGTTATAAAAAGGTTGCAAAAAAAAATAATAATTACTAAAAACTTTTGAAGATTATAATAAAAGTAATAATAGTATAATAATAATAATAAAAGTAGTAATTATTAAAAAAATATTATATATGTTTTTAATAATAATAATATAATAAATATTTATAAACATAAAAAGAAAGTATATACAAAATTGCAATAATAATAACTTTAAAGTTTTTAAATATAAAAAATAATTATTATTATAAAAAAGTTTTTATTAAAAAAAAATAACAAAAATACTAAGTTAAAAGATAAAAATAACTTAAATTACTAAATATTATAAAAAAAAAAGTGTTGTATAATAATAATAAGTAATATAAACTGTAGATATTATAAAACTAATGACATTGATTCTCTAGAGAATTATAAAAAGAATTAAAATATAAAAAATTAATAAAAACCAAAATAAAAAAACATAAAAAGTAAATAATTAAAAAATATTATAAAAAAAGTTTTATAAAAGAGCAATAATAATAATAGATACTTAATAGTTAGCAAGTTATTGCAAAGAGTAGCGCGTTCTCTTAAGGAAACGGAAGAAGAAATAAATTCTCCAATAATTCGATTAACTTCCATTAAATGAGGCTTAGAAAAAATATATTATAACAATAAATAGTTACAAATATAAAAATATAAATGATATAATAAAAAATATGATATAATGAAAATATTATAATAATAAAATGAAAAAAAATTTAGAAATAAAAATATAATATAAAAATTATTAAAATATACAAAAATATAAAAATAATATTTTGAAAAAAGGTAAAAAAATTTTTTTAAAATAAATATATAATAAAAAATATGAAAAAATAATAAATATATTAAAAATATGTAGAATTATATAAAAATCTAAAATATAATTAAAATTATAATAAAATATAAAATTATAAAAAATACTATTAATATAAAAAAATATAATAAAAGTTAACCAAAAGAAGTTCTTGATATGATTTTAAAACAAGAGTAAACATACGCAATACTTCCGAGCGAAATGCTATAGTAATAATAATAACAATAATAAGTAAATAAACTCCCATAGAATAAATAAAAATAATAATTAAAAATAGTAGTCAATATATATAATAAAAATAATAATAATTAATAACAAGAAGTAATAATAATAAAAATATATATTAATAACACTAAAAATAAGTTAATAATGATAATTATTAAATAAATATATAAAAATAACTATTAGAAATTAAATAAATAATATTAATAATAATGAAGTAAATATAACAATAATATATTAATATTATAGCAGCTCGATGATTTGCTATGAAAAGATCATTAGGCCTTATAATAATAATTATAAGTAGATTATATAATAATAAAAAAGTTGTAAATTTTTTTTATATAATAATAATAATTATAATAAGATTCTTATAAAAAAGTTTATATTAATAAAAAATCTAAAAAAAAAAGAAAAAAATATACAAAAAGAACTCTTTTGAGACTTCTTTTTATTATTAAAATAAGCACGAAAGTCCGTCAGAATAAGTTTTTTGCTTTTTATTAATTTCAATAACTATAATATATATAAATTACATAAAAGTAGTAAATTCTTAATACTCTACAGTAATAACTTTTATAAAAAAAATTCAGAATTTTGAAAAGTTATATTAATTATAATATGCTAAACTTTTATTATATAACAAAAATATATAAAATAATAAATCTCATTGTAGTAAAAAAAACTTTCATAAAATTAAAGACAATGAGATTTTTAAAAAGTGCCCAATCCAAGTTTTTTAAAAAAACTTTATGCTAATAAGATTTTGCAAACTTTTATTATATAACAATAAGAAAATATAAATATAAAAAATCCCTCCTTATTATAATAAAACTGATAAAATTAAAATCAGAATGATCAATAGAATTATTAAAAAGTAACCAATCCAATATATTTAATAAAACTAAATAATATTCTGGAAACATTTTTGTAATACTAATATTGTGACATTAAACTTTTATGATGAAAAAATAAATCTGAGTATAATAATAAAGCTATATTAAGTGAAATTTAAAGGACTAAAAAGGTTATTAATAGGAAATCAAACCATTCTATTTAATAACACTTTTTTAATACTCTAAAACATTTGCTAAGAAAATATTAATATGCTAAACTTTTATAATAATACAATAATACAAAATAAATATAATCTCGTTATAACAATAAAACTTTATTAAAACTAAAATTTAAACGACTAATAAGAATATCGATGAGTAACCAATTTAATATATTTAAAAACGGCTTCTTCTGATTCGACAAGGCGGCTCTCAAGCAACGGCTTGAACAAATCCAAATAAGCCTTAAAAAAATAGATATATATTTTAGCAGTAAAAGTAAACCAGTGAATATTAATTATAATAACTTTTCTTATTTTATCTTGAAATAAAAACGTTCCGTTTGAAAAAAATAAGCAAATATAAATAACAGATATTATAAATATATATATAGAAAGTTAATAGGAGAAAACATTTTTAGAAAACTTTTCATAATTGCTAATATAATAATATTCTGTTAAAACTTTACAATAGAAAAAAATATATTTTTTCAGTATAACAGAAACTGTTTATTTTTTTTTTTTACCATTACTTTAATAGTAAAACATTAACGTTTTATATATAATAATTATAATAATAGCAGTAATAATAATAATAAAACAGTAATAAAAAATAAAATAAAGAATTTGTAGTAAGTAATATTTTTTTTTATTACTTTTGTATAAAAAAAGTATAAAAAAATAAAAAGGTTCAGGTTACGTATATAAAAAAAACTTTTACTTTTTTACATAAAAACTAATAATAATAAAATTATATATAACATGATTATTCATTTCTTTAATAGTAAAACTTTTACTACTTTAGAGAAAAATTAAATTAAGTATATATATAAACTTTGTTTATATATAAAAAACTATTTTTATCATTTCTTTAACAGTAAAACTTTTGATTTTACTATATAATAATAAAAAGGAATATGAAGATTATATAAGAGAAAAACTATTCTTTTTATTTTTTAATAATAATAATACTTTTACGTTTTTACGTAAAATAATAAAAATGTCATTTTCTTATCGTAAAACTTTTACGTTTTACATAAAAATAACCATAAACTATTCATCTTAATTCTTCTATAATAAACATTTACCGTCTTTATATAAAAATATATATATAAAAATTTACATACATAAAAACTATCACTAGTATTTCTTTTATAGTTACACTTTTACTTTTAAATAAAGATAATAATTATGTATATTAAAAAAATTAATATATGAAATTTTTTTTTTAAAACTTTTATAATAAAAAACTTTTAAGGTTTTATATTAAAAATATATAAAGTCTACATATAGAAAAACTAATTTCATATTTAGCAAAATTTTTACTTTTTATATTAATAAATAAATTCATATAAAATATTAAAAATTTATAATAAAATATATATTATTTTAAAAAATTTTCAGAATTCTTTTACACATTTTAATATAGTCTATATAATATACTTTACTATAAATATAAATTAATAACTTTTATGTTATCTTAAAAATTCTTTATTATTATTACAACCTTATTACACCTATTTATTATGTATTACGTATTACTTTATGAGTTCTTTATTATTAATATTATTATATATGAATATAATTTTATGAATTCTGTATTATCATTACAGTTATATAATAAACTATATTAATATTTTTTATATTTTGTATTTTATTTATATAAATATTTTTTATATTATTTTAAGAATTCTTTAAAAATAGCACAATTTTTATATTACCCCATTTCATTAATATTATAATTTTTATATTATAAATACAATTTATTATAAAATTTATTAATATTTATGTAATATTTATACACCCTTTATTATCACAATTTCCTTTTTATAAAAATTTAATAAATTTATTATATTATACACTTTACTAATATCAATATTTTATATATTATGTAATATTACTTCTATTACAATTTTATTATAACTATTTATTAATATTTTCTATATTACTTTATAATTTTTTATTTTATAAATTTATTACAATTAATTTATTTCTATGATATACTAAACAATTTATAAATTTATTATTATTTTTTTATTAATGTTTGAAATTGATTATACTACTGTACAGTTCTCTTTATAATTATTATAAATTTATTATAAAAAATATTATTTTTATGTAAATTTTTTGAAGTTATCACCAATTTTTACTACTAATAACTAATTTTTATTATTATTAATATTAATTATATAAATATTTAATAGATTATTATATATTAAAAAGTTCATTAATACTATTTATCATTATATATATCCTTTAAAATTATTATAAATTAAATAGAAATATTTATTATAATACATTTTTTTATTATTGTATATTACATTACTATTTTATGAATATACTTGTTTTCATTAAATTAAATTCATTATAACCCTTATCAATATTTATTACAATTAACTTATTTTTAATATGGCTAATTCTACTATAAAAAATAGTTAATGCAGTATTATTATAAATATTCATTAATATAAAAATATTAATATTTCATTATGTAATTATGATACATTTATAATAAATATTTAACATAATAATACTATTTTTATTTATTATTATTATTATAAAAATTCATTATTTAAAATAAAAAACATTATTTACTTTGCAATAAGTAAGATCGCTGGGGAGCGGAAGTGAAAGAAGTTCAGTAAAGCACTCATTTATAATACAACTGCACTCCTATTTTATGCAAGGATCTTAAGTAAAAACAAATATATATAACAATAACTAAAAAAACATATATAAAAATATAAATATATTAAAATAATAATAATTATTATTATAAAAAAAAATTAATATAGTTAGAAAATATAATTAATAAAAACGGAAAGGAAAAAAAATATAATAATAATAATTAGTAAAAAAATAGTTGTAAGTAAAAAAAAATAAATATAAGATATTAATAAGTAAACAATAAATACAATATAATAATAAATAAAAATATATAAAGAAAAGAAGTAAAAAAATAAGTATAAAATAATAATAAGTAAAATTATATCAGAAAGAATATAAATAATAACGATCTGTAAAAAAATATGTATACGAAATAATAATAATAGGTAAAAAATATATATATAATATAATTGATAATAATGACGAGAAAAAAAATATATACAAATAATAATAGTAAGTAAAAATATATATAATGCTATTTATAAAAGTGAAGAGCAAAAACGATAATAAGCAAAAAATGATATATAAAAATTACATAATTAAAAGTGATGAGTAAAATATATACAGAAGATAATAAGTTAAAAATAAATATAATATAACATAATAATAATAAGTAAATATATATATACAAAAAAATAATAATAAGAAAAAATATATATATAAGAAACTTGTCTATTTTCTTCTTTTTTTTCTCTATATAAACTCGTAAAAACTTCTTTCCATATATAGCATGAAGTTTTGCAATCAGCATAAAATTTTTCTTGGTCTTTCGCGTTTTCTTTAAATAAATAGTAATAATAAAATCAATCTAACAATAATTATTAATAATAATATATTTATAAAAGTAAAAATAATAAGTAAAAATAAATAAAAAAAATAATTATTCATAAAAATATAAAATATAGTAAAATAAGTAAATAATTATAATAAAAAAGTATATCTTTTAAAAATAATATTAGAAGGAAAAAAAATATAATAATAAAAAGTACAAAAAAATATTAAGAAAGTAAAAATATAGAGAAAATTTAAAAAAAAGTTAATAAAAATAAATATATATATAAAAATAATAAAAACTAAAAAAATATATTTTTAAAGTAAAAATATATATTATAAAAAATAATAAATAAAGTAGTAAATAATAAAAAATATATTATTATAATAATAAATATATTTGAAATAATAATAAGTAAAAATATGTATTTTAAAGCATAATAAATAAAATAATATATTAAGAAAAATATATAATATTATAATAATATTAATACTAAAAAAATATATTAAAATAATAATAAGAAAAATAATATACTAATAAATATATATATATAATATCGTTTAAAAAAATAAATATGAAGTAATAACAATAATGAAAAGTAAAATATATTTATAAACAAAATAATATATCAATAAAGATATTATATAATATTATTTAAATAAAAATATTATATAAAATAATAATAATATTAACTAACGAGGCAACGGAAGCCCTTGAAAAATATAATAAATATACTTTTTCGAAATTTGAGAGGACAAGCGCGGCTTTATGCAAGTTATAATATTATAATAATAAGTAAATATAAATATAAATAATAATATACGTAAAAAGTAAAAAAATATAAAGAATGTACAAACGTATAATAAGTATAAAGAAAATATAATTAATAGTATAAAAATTATATATAAAAAGTTAAAAATTTTTATATTATACGAAGTAAATTTAAATATATTTTAAAAAAATAAATATGAAAAGTAAAAAAACAAAAAGAAAGAAATATAAGATAATATAAAGTATATAATAAAAGTAAATATAGGCAAGAAAATATACTAATTCAGTGTATAATAATAATTATGAATAACAAAGTAAATATAAAAATGTAATAATAATACATATAAAAAATAAAAAAATATTAGAAAAAAAAATATCAGAAAGAAAAATAAATTACTTATAAAAATATAAAAATGCTAGAAAGAAATAACATATATGCATAAAAATATAAAGTACATATAAAAATTAGAAAATAACAGTAAATTATATTATAAAAATATAAAAACTACATAAAAAATTAATAAAATAAAAATAAAAATATATGAAAAAAATATATATATATGAACGTTAGAAAAATAAAAAATAATAATATAAAAGTATAATATATAATAAAAAATATAAAACTATTAAATAAAATTAAAAGATAGACAAAATTACACAAAGTTCATATAAAAATAATAAAATAAAAGTAAATGAAATAATACGAAATAAAATATATACAAAAAATAAAAGACGTATGAAAATAATAATATAAAGGTAAATATAAGCAAGAAAGTAGTATATAAAAGATAATATTATTATTAAAAAAATTAAACCGAGCAAAAAAGTATGAAAATAGAAAATAGTAAAGTTGAGATAAAAATAAACGATTAAAAAAAAATTAAAAATAAAATAGTAATAATAATTTTGATATACAAATAGCAGAATAAAAAAAAGTAAAAGTAAAATAATATAATAAAAATAATAATTATATAAAAAAATAAACACAAAAATTATATTTTCAATAATAATAATAATATAATTCGAAGTAAAAATAATATAAAAGTTAATATTTTACTTACGTAAATAATATTATCATAAAGATAAATGGTTATATATACAATAATAACTACTTGTAATGAATACAAAAATAAAAATATTTATAATTATCAGTAAATTTATTATTATTGTTTACCTTTCTTTATGTAATAAAAAAAATTATGATAAATTTTACATAAACATTTGTTAATTAGAAATATAATAATAATTGTTACTGTTAAAAAAAGTTAAGAAAGAAAAAAATATCATATTTCTAGAAAAGTGGAATTATTTTTTAGTATCATAAATTGCTTTATAAAAAAATTAACATAAAAAAATAAGTAAAAATAATAAAATATAATGATAATATAAAAGTTATTATAGTAATATAATAATGTAATAATAATATGAAGAAAAAATCATAAAATACTACAATACAAAAAATTCATAATAACTAAGTTAAAATAAAAAAAACTAATAACAAATATTTTAAACTAAAAGTAAATATTTACTATTTACTAATACATATAATAAAATAAAATAATAATAATAACCTCAAAACTAGCAATAATCGATATTAAATTGAGGACTTCCTAAAAAATATTAATAATAATAAATAATATTCAAGCAAAAAAAAAAATTGAAACTTTTTTAAAAACAATTCGGAAATCAGAAAAAGCTTGGAAAGATTCAAAATCTCTAAAATATATAATAAAAATTAATATTATACTAAAGAAAAGAAAAATATTATAATAATTAAAATAATAAAAAATAGTAAACATATAAAATAAAATTCTTATAAAAATTTTAAATGTTAAAATTTCGTAATAAAAAATTTTTATAAACATTTTAAAATTTAAATTAATTTAAAAAAATTTATTAAAAAAATGAAAATTTTATAAAAACACTAAAAAATTATTTAAGTTTAAAAATTTATTATAATTTTTAATACAAAAAAGTTGAGAAAATGAAATTTTTTTTATTGCTTTCAATTATATATATATTTTTAATACTATATTTATTACAAATATATATTTATATTTACTACATTTTTTTTATATATTCTTATAATTATATTTTGATTTATATTATTATAAATATTTATTTCAGAATAAAAATAACAAAAAAAAACCAAAATAAATTATTTTCATAGTATTTAGTAAAAAAAACATTTTTTATAACTAATAAAACTTCATTTATATTAAAAAAATTTTTTTTAATAATATTAATATAATAATAAAAGTAATTTTTCAAATACAAAAAATTAAATAAAAAATTATATAGTCAAATTAAACTATAATAAAACTCATTATTTAAAAAAAAATAGAAAGAAATAAAAAATTTTCCTGATACAAAAATTTTAATAAAGCAATAAAATATTTTTTACAGATACTAAAACATTTTTATTAATAAATAATTATTTATAATAATAATAAATATTATTTTTCTAAAACAAAGTAACTTTTTTTTATAAACTTAATAAATAATTTAATAAAGAAAATATTTTTTCTAAACTCAAATAGAACTGCATTAATTTTCTTAATAAAAAAGTTTATTTTACAATAATAATAATTAAAAAGTATAAATAAATTTCTAATACTAAGAAAATTTAAGAATAAAAAAATAAAATATACTTTTAATACTAAAAAAAATTAGTTTTATACAAAATCATAACAAAACTTTGTTATTTTTTACTTTATTCAAAATGGAATAGAAAGAAATGCATAAAAAAAAAGTTTCTCTTATAATAATAAACCTTTCAGCAAACTTTTCAAGCGTGAGTTTCGAGTCAATACTGCTCGCCTTTTATTAATAAGTAAATATAAATAAAAAACTTTTTATTAACTAAAAATAAAATTAGATACACGTTCTATAAAATGTAAGAATATATAAAAACCAAAAAAAAATATATAAAATGATATAGTAATAAAAAAAAATTATATATAAAGTAATAAACCAGTTAATATTATTTTATAATTATATATATATAGTAAAAATAGTTTAAATAATATAATAATAACTCACACAAAATATATAAAAGTAAAAAAAAGATATAAAAATAAAAATAGGCATAAAAAGTAAATATAAATACATACAGTACAACCTATTTAAAAACGTAACAAAAATTATATATAAAAAGAAAATAAATAAAATAAAATAATAATTAACATGGAAATATAAAAAATATATATAATAAATTTTTAAAATAATACATAATTTATATAAAAAAAGAAAAATTATATAAAAAATACAAAAAAAATAGTTAAAGGATATATAAATCTTTGTAAAAAATAATAAAAGTAATAAAACAATACTTAGTTAACTTTAGAACAATATAAAATTTGTATATAAAAAAAATATATATAAAAAAATATAAAAAATATACATAAAGTAAAAAAAATTAAAAATATGGAATATATATATAAAGTAAAGGATATATAAATTTTTATATCAATAGTAATAATGATAAAATTTAAGAAAATATAAAATTTACCCAGAAAAAGTAAAATATATTAATGTATTATAAACAAATGTATTAATAGAAAAATATATATATAAAAACGTAGAAAAAAGTAAAATATATATATAGAAATGTATAAAGTAAAATAAAAAATATGCTTAATAAGTAAAAAATATAATATATAGTATAAATATATATATAAATATTTTTTTTGTATAATACAAAATTAAATAAACAGATAAAATAAAAATATATAATATAAAGTAAAATACATTATAAAATATATATAAAAATGAATATAATGTAAGTATATATATGATAAAAAATAAAATAAAAGGGTATAAATAAAAATTTATATAAAAAGTAAATAATTTTAAAAATAATATAAAATAAATAAAAAAGAAAATATATATAATAAAAGTTAACTTTTTCGGCGCAGTTCGTAAAAAAGTTTTCAATAAATCCAAACGACTTAATCCACTTAAAAGCAAAATATTAACAAGGATATAAAAATTTTAATAAATAAAAAATAACAGGAAAATAATAAAAATAAATAATACTAACTATTAAAAGAATTTTAAATTAATAATAATAATTGTTATGAAAAATTATAAAATAAAAAAATAATATTAATAATACATAATAATAAGATAAAATTTTAAGTTACATAATAATAAAAAGCAAGTAAAAACAATTATGATAAAATATAAATAATAAAAATAATTACAAAAAATTATAAATAAAATAAAAAAAAATATTAATAAAAAGTAATAAAATTGAAATAGATATAGTGTGTACAAAATAAAAATAAAAAGTAAAACAAAAAAAAATAATATAAAAATAAGAAAATGAAAAAGAAATTATATTAATGAAAAAATAATTAAAATATAATAAATATAATAATAGTAAAAAATAATATAAAAATTATTTATTAATAAAAAAAAGTAAAACTTTTATAAAAAATTAATAATAAAATATTAATAATAATAGTAAAAATAATATAAAAAAATATGAAAATAAAAATAGTAAAACTAGAAAAACAAAAATAATAATTAAAAGTAGAACGTAAAAAAATAATAACGCAAAACAAATAAAGTAATTACAAAAAATAATATATAGAACTTGGATAAACATAATAAAAAGTAAAACTTTAAGGAATACAAAAATAGTATAAAATAAAACGTCACTATAACAAATAAAATTTATATATAGAAAATAATTAGTAATAATTATAAAAAGTAAAAAAATTATAAATCTTATAACAAAAATACGAAGAAATAGGAATTTTCTTAATGCTTACAAGTAAAATATAAAAAAAAGAAAAAAGTAGTTTTTTTTCCTTTTACAAAAATAAAAAATATATAAAAAGTAAAAAAATAAAATAATAATTATTAAAAGAATAATAAAATAAAAAAAAGTATTAAATAAATATTTATACCGTAAATATTAAAATCATTTTTAATAATTAAAAAAAAATACAAGAAAGATTGTAATTTCCTTCAAGCAAACCGTCATACTCTGAACAGCCAATGAGGAAAGCACAAGCGACGGATGACCGAAAAGCGCGAACAAAAGCCGAAAAAAACTGGTAAAAAGTTTATATAAAATAAAAATTATAAATATATATCGTATACAAAAATTTGAAAATAATATTATAGAAAAAGTTTTTTATTTAAAAATAAAAATATAAATATAATAACTAAACTTTTATTATTATTAATATAATAAATTATAAAAAATATAAAAACGTATAAATTTATGTATAAAAATAATATTATAAAAATATTTTAATTACAAAAAAGTTAAATAATAAATAGTTTTGTTAAGAAAAAAGTAAAAATTTATAATAAATTGTGATTTATAAATAAATAAATAAATATAAAAATAATAAAAAAAACTCTATAAACTTTTATTATTATAAAATAAAAGTTGAAAGTAATAATAAATGGTGATTTATAAAAAATAATAAGTAAAAATATATATACTTCATTATTATAATATTAGTAAGTTATAAAAATATAAAAACGAAGATAAATTTGTATATAATAATATTTATATGATATAAAAATATTAAATAAATTTGAAAAAAGTTTTTAATAATAAAACTTACAAAAAAATTTTATAATAAAAAGTAAAGTTCATTATAATAATAAAAAGTTATTAATATACAAATAATAAAAATTTATTTATAAAAAATTGAAAATAAAAAATAGTAAAAAGTTGAAAAAATACTCAAAAGTTGCCTGCAAAAATACGTTAAAGTTTTATAATAGGTCAATTGTTATTAAATTATAAAGTTTATAATAATATAATAATATAAAGTTATAGTAAAAATAATAATAATCAGTAAAAAATTTACACTTGCAAACTCGACGTTTCAAAATTAACAAAGTTTTCCTCGCGGCCAGGAACAACCACGTGCGTCGTCAAAAGTTTCAAGTACTTATAGATACCAAAATAAATAAAATAGTTGCAAAAAAAAAGACTTTTTTATGTTTTGATTCCATTTACTATAGTAAAGCTAAAATAGTATTGAACTTTTTATTTTGAACTTTTTATATATAAAATATACTTCAGCAAAGCGATTAATGAGTAAATATGAGTCATTTTCCAGCGACTCACAGTCTTGAGAAAGTAATAAATAAAAAGGCTCGCTATAAATATTAATACCCTGTAAAAAAAAATTATTAATAAAAAAGACTTGATTTATTAAAAAACAAAAAAAATAAATATTAACAAAAGCAAACAGTGAAATACATTTATAAGCCTATTAAGCTCCAATCGCTGATTTTTATCTCGTTTTTTGGTAACAAATGAAATCATTGCTTCTAAAGCTTCCTTAAAAAAATAGTAATATGTTTCATTAAAACTTTATTATTATTTTCATAATATTATGAACTTTATATTTATATTATTATTGTTTTACTAAAAACGTGTAATTATTAGAAATAAAAATATATATAAATATATATTGTAAAAGATATTTATTAATACTTTATTAATATATTTGATTTATAATAAAATTTATATTCACATTATTGCTATTTTATCATAAACATATAAAAATATAAATATAAATATTTATTATTATATAATTTTGATTTTTAGTAATTGTGAACTTAATATTTATTTAATACTATTTAATTATAAACCTATGCTTAATTATTATTTGTAACTGTTATAAATTTAATATTTATTTCACTACTATTTTACCAAAAACATATTAATAAAAATATATATAAATAAAAATATTATAATAATTATAAATTATTATTAATACTGAATTATCATAATTTTAATTTATTATGAACTTTATATTCATTTTATTACTATTATATATAAACATAAAAATAAATAAGATATAAATATAAATATAAATAATTACTACAAATTTTACATTTTTTCTTTTAATAGAAAAATATTTATTAATATTTTAATGATTCTTAATAATTAGTTATAAATTTTATAATTATTTATCATAAATTTAATAAATATCACTTTATATATTTTTATAAAAAACAATACTTATACTTTATTATTATTTTTAATTTATTATGAACTTTGCATAAATTAATTACTAAATTATTAAAAACATATCAATATAAAAATATATTTATAAATATTTTTAAAGAAATAACTATTTACTAATACTTTATTATTATTTTCTATAATTTATATAAATGTTAAATAAATTTTTACTACTACTTTATAATAAAAAAAAGTAATACTAATAGAATTATAAAAAAAAATTTGTCAACACTTAAATATTATTTTTTTATAGTTAATTGTATTTTGTATTTATTTATCACTATTTTCTTAAAAACATTTAAATATTATTATGAATGTATTAATAAAAATAAATATTTATCAACATTGTAGTATTACTTGTTAATATTTAACTAAATTTTATATTTATTTCTTATTATTTAATAATAAACATAAATATTATAAATACATTAATACAAATAAATAGTTATTAATACTTTATTATTATTTTTTAATATTTATCTAAATTTTATATTCATTTATTATTATTATTTTATTTTTAAACATAAATATTATTATAAATAGATTAATAAAAATAAAGAATATACTTGAAAAAAATATATATAAATAAATATAATAATATTCAATACTTTTATACAATTTATTACTATAATAAACATAATAATAATGATCAGTAAAACGAACAGCTTGAAATTCGGGGTTGTTTGTTAATGCAAAAAGAAGTTGAAAAGACTCCTCCGTTAAGACTCTGTTGCGAGTGGTTAAAAATATACACCAATAAAATAAAGGCAAGCAAAATGCACGTGAAGTTAATATGCTCGAATAATATTTGAAATAAATGAAGCACTTTTTTCACGACTCTTTTGTGATGCGAATTTTCCTATTTGTAAAAAAATAAAAAAACTGAATAATATACAGAAATATAAAAAGACTACAATGATAAGATATACAAAATAATATAAAAATATAATAATATGATATTAGGTGTGCAAAATAAATAAATATAAAAATGTTTATATTATATTTATATTTATAAATAATTATAAATATCTACAAAAAATATAAATATACATTAATAAGTTTTATATATATAAAGTAAAAGTACTTGTGAAAGCGGCACGGAAACAAACATGACAAGGAGGCAAAACTCCATAAGAGAGGTGTGATGTTCTCTTTTATAATTATTATTATTATTATTATAACAAGTATTTTGTTATCATGATTCCATTATTATTAATACTGCTATTATTATCACTAAATTAGTAGTAGTAATACTATTGTTAATATTACATAAATACTTCTGTTGTTATTATCAATAAATATTATTATTTTATATTTTTAATAATTATTTCCTAAATATTCACATGTTAAAGACGATACTAATGTTGTTAATACTATTAATATTAATAGTATTAGTGTTATCATATTATTATTACTTCAGATTAATCAAATATGTTATTATCATTATTACTAATATTATAAATACTACTATAAATATCATGCAAACTATTATTTTATAATAAAAAAATTTATTGATAAATAAAAAATCTATAATACGTTTATTAATTATTTAATATATTTTTATTATTAATACTACTATTATTATTACTATTGTTCCATATAAATATAAATGTTTATATATAAATATTTTATTTAATACTTTTGATTATCTATTTGGAATATTTTTATTTTAATTATTGGTTTACATTTTAAATAAATAATTTTTTTTTAAATATAATTTATTTAATACTTTCTCTTAATGATTTAATATATCATATTATTATCATGATTATTATTAATAATATTACTTATTATTATATAAAAGCTATATTATTTAATATTAATTAATTTCTTTAACAATAATGAATTTCTTAGGTTATTAATTTATTTAAAAAATAAACTTTCTTTTATAATGATATAATAATAATATTAATAATAATAAAAACCTCAAGCCTTTTAGTAAATCTCTTCTTCTTTCCTAGAAAAATATAAAAATTTGCTTAAAATTTATAGATTTCTTTATTTTTAAAAATATAATTTTATGATTACAAAAAAAAGCTGCAAAAAGATTATAAAAAGTTAAAGCAAATTAACAAATTTAACATGGAAAAAAGAATTAAATATTATTTTTTATAGAAAATAAAAATTCAAATATATTTATTAATATTTAAATTTAAAAAATAAATATAGTCAAGGAGAATTAAATAGTTTTTAAATATAATAAAAGTTGAAAATAAATTATTAATATTTAAATTTAAAAAAAAAGTTTTAAATTAATTTATATAATAAATTCATTTAAAACTTTTTTTTTGTATGTTTATTTTGGTATTTAAATATTAATTGGTTTATTCCAAACTAAAAAAAAAAATAAAAAATAATTCATAAATAAATTCTTAAGCAATTAAAATTTATATAAATTTAAAAAAAGCAGCAGCAGAAGATATTTTTTTAAAAAAAAACTTTCAGTATATAAACGTACCACAAAAACTAATAGGTAAAAAAAAATTCAAAGAAAAATAAATAATTTGAAAATATAAAAGCACTTAAAAAACTATTAAGTAAAAAAAATTATATAGTAAAAATTAATTAATAAAAATAAATTTTCCAAAAAAAATTTAAAAATATTAACTAGATAAAAATAATTTAAAAAAAGTAAATAAAAGATTAAAAAAAGATTCAAAGAAAAATTAATTTAATAAAAATAAATAAAATATGATAAAGTACTTAAGAAAATTAAGTTAAAAAAAATATAAAGTAAAAATTATTTAATAAAAATAACTTAATATAAACTTACCAAAAAAATGAAGTAAAAAAGAGATTCAAAGAAAATTTACTCATTTAAAATATAAAGATAAAAAAGTAGCAAAAAACAGTTAAGTAAAAACAAAAGATTTAAAGAAAAATTACTTTAATAAAAATTTAAAAATATAAAAGCCCCAAAAAAAAATTAAGTAAAAAAAGATTTATAAAAAATTATTTTAATAAAAATAATTTAAAAATTATGTATTTACTGAAAATAATTAAAAATATAAAAGTACCAAACAAATTAAGCAGAAAAAAAGATTTAAAATAAAAAAAAATTTAAAAAGAAAGTAAATATATTTATTTAAAGTAACTTTTGTTAGAGAATCTCCATATTCGTAGATTTGCTCGCATAATGACTGGTAACAAGAAAGCACTAATTCCAAGGAAAATCCCTTATATTTAATATTTTGATATTTAGTACAGTTTATAAAGAGTATAAATAAAATAAAAAAGTAGTTTTACAAAATAATTATAATTACGCCCTTTCTAGAAATTTCATTTAAAAAAGGCATCAACTGAATCCAGTTTTGTGGCCATTCTCTTTTAATTAACTTTTTAAAAATAAAAATTTCCTGTATCAATTATCAACGGAAAAAATACTTACTTCTATAAATACTTTATTAATTTTTTCAATTAAGTATAAAACATGCGACTCTTGTAAAATGAAAGAAGAAATAATTTCATTAACCTAGAATATAAAAAAAATTATTATAATATATTTATAAGAAAATTAAATAATTGCCAAAGTAAGAAAATTCAAGTATTGCTTTTTATAGAGTTCTTTTTGATCATTTAGTAGAGTTGGCCAGTGCAAAGTAATTTTTAAACTACAAATCAAAATAAATATCAAAAAAAAAAAAGTTAAATATATGAAAACCTTAAGGAGTCGTAAATAAAGGTGTTCAAGTAAAAAAAAGTACAGGAATCCAAAGTCATCTTCGATAAGGTTTCAATAAGATGAAACAATATATCAAAATTTGAATTACTAGAATGTTCCATTAAAAACTTAAAAAAAGTAAGAAACTATTAAAAAATAAAAAAAAAAATTAATAACGCACTTCATATGCCTTTTTTCTTTCAACTTCTGAAGACTTTTCACTATAAGCAAGTTGTGTGTTCTCAATTATTAAGCTGCAAACTTTATTTTATAATGAATTTTTTTTTAATAATAAGTTTTGAAGTTAAAAAATAATTATTATTATAAATAGTATAAACCTTTTTCAAGATCTTGCATTATTCTGCATAAATAATAAGTGAAAATACAGTTAAACGCTGCGCGTAATTAAGCCTTTCGACAAGGCATGGAATGCCTACATCCTTCCCCCCGTGCATAGCATTAATAATTAATTCCTTTTTTATTTACTTTTTCTTACTAATTTTTATATATCCGTTAAATAATTTGATATTATATTATATTATTTTTATTTATTAAATAAAAACTTTTAATAAGTTAAGTTTGATAAAAAGTCCCAGTTTGTTTTTAAAGTTAAAAGCTGCTCAACACTTGCATTCACTATCTAACACTTTTTGAGTATTTACTAACCACCAGTTACCTAAATCGTGCTGGAGGACGAGCAATGACTGATATAAGTAACAGGAAAAAAAAAATCTAAAAATTAAAAATTTATTTAAAAAAAGTCAAAAATAACAATTAAAAATATTATTAATAGTAAAAGAAAAAAATATTATAATTATAGTATTATTACAGAATTTTCAAACAGAAAATAATCCAAAAAAACAAACTTTAAATTAAAAATTCAAAAAAATTTTATGAGATAAAAAAAGAAACTTATATACAAAGTACAATGTGCTGATACTCAAACAGGCATGGTCCTGGCAAACAGAAAGAGTCGATGTTTGCAAGGAAGATACCAAGGTTACAAGTCATCGCTTTCATATTTAAGGTTTTAAGAAATCTATCGATGGCGAGCTTTTGCTTGCCTTTAATAGTCAACCCCGGGCAACAGTTAAGTGTTAACACTACAATTGAACGCGTATTACGTAGAGAGCTTTGATCTGACTACTCACTTCTTTGCTAAAGAGTGTACTAGTTGGTACGAAAGTCATCGAGATAAAGCTAACAGCTTAATCTACCACCAAGAACTCAATCTACAAAGTTCTATTAATACTAACATAAAGGCCTACAACACTTTATAAAATAAAATAACTCGGACACAAAAATACAGGCTGCTGAATTAAAATAAGTAACAGCTAGCGAAACCATGATTCAAGGAAAAGTAAATTTTATAGCTATTGACCAGTGCGTCTAGAGCTTAAAACGCTAAAAGAGACCGATTAGTGTTATAAATTAAATAATTAAAGCTAATGCCCGTGAAAGTAGGAGCTTATAAGGAATGTGAGTCGACATGGTTAAAATACAAACCCCGTATTCAAGGCAACGTGCTTGCTCTTCACGACGCGTAGCAGCTCTCTTTAACTCAGCTATTGGGGGGGAATCTGGGCTCAAGCAACAGATGTATCTAACCAAGAGGTCGTCACTTCTTTGAAGATGGGTTAAAATAACAGAGTTTTTTAAAAACCTGTATGCATATTTATTACTTTATTTAACAATAAAAGAGAACATAACATGAAGAGAATAAAATAAAGGTTACTCTGTAGCTTCGATACGCACAAACCACGTGCACATGGTTGAAGGCGTGAGAGGGGCGCGGGGAAGAGCTAAGACAGAGATTGAAGCAGAGACCCGCATGTAATGTTCTGCTGTATCCAAATCACATATACGTAACGAAAATTGCTTTCGGCAGATATACATTGGCTTGCCACCCTCCGAAATAGCTTATAGTTAATGATGACTTCCTGATATTTTGCGGGAGGCAAACTACTGTATTGTCTTGCCTTAAAGATTAGCAGCAGTGGGGGTCGGCACGCTTCTTTGTGGTAAAAAGGCTTTGCTTATTTCCACGTTAAAAGTTTTCTCGAACGACGGCACCACTTTAAGAACGCGGCTAGTTTATTGTTATAACAATAAAGCTCGAAACTTTAAACGAGTAAATCGGCGTATCATTCGCTGGTGTATTATAGAATAAGAAAAACTCAAAACGCTGCGGTGGCGGGCAGTAAGTCTTTTACAAAGCATCCTTAATGTTGTCCACAAAGCGCCCTCTATTATAGGCAGCAGCTTTTGTTCTTACACTTTATAGAGCTTTACCGTTCAATTGTTAAATTTTATTACAAAAACCAAAAAATATAGGGAGAAGGCAAGCAACTAAGGTGTATCCTTTTGCACAGATGCGCCTCTTAAATTGTTTTCTATTTTCATCTAATTCTGTGTATCAAAATGCTTACAACTGTAAACTTGATATTATAGATAACAAAAGTTTCCATAAATACTATCAAAAACAACATTTGATGCTAGATTTTTAGCAGTGTAAGCGCTTTCAAGTCATTTGACAGTAGTAATTAGTATTGCATCCACAAAATACCAAAAAGTAGTATAAAATAATAAATGAAATATTTGTAAAACTTTTAAGAAAATTTTAGTAAAGTTAAAATAATTAGGATATTTTTATTATAAAACTTTCTATACTATTTAAAAAAATTAATATTATCTATAACTTGTATTTTGTAATAACTATAATAATCAATAATAAAGTAAAGTTTTTTGAAAAATTAAAAAACATTTAAAATTTTCATTATATAAATTTTTTGAACTTTTCGTTAACACAAAAAAGTCACGTGACGATATTATAGAAGTTTTATGTGGTGGTTGGGAGCGAGAGTAAGCCTTCGTGAGATCTCTTTTTCATTAAAAGCGTAAGTGAAAGTATTATTAATTAATTTTTTAAGTAATATTACTTTTTATTTTATTTTTTTCATAGGAATAATAATGATAAGCAAACTTGCTTTAAATCGAATAGCTTATTCAAGTAAAGTGATTACTAGAATTGTAAGCATATCTACCTCAGCTAAACTTTGCAATCCCCTTTTGAAGCAGTGTTCACTTCAAGCTCTCAGTAAATATTACATCTACTTTTTTCATCTATTGTATTCTCTAACAAACTTTATATACATCTAAATTTAATAAATAATTTAAATTTCATTACTTAGCTTTTAGGGAAACCTTTAACTTTACTTCAAAATTTTTATTTCACACGAGTAGAGGTATTAATAGCTTTCTTGCTTGTTATTGTTTATACATAACAATTATAATTTTTAATAATAGTATTTTTTTTTTATAGATTCAAATAGTAAAAAAGATTACTATGAAGTTTTAGGAGTTGATAAAAAAGCTACTGCTTCTGACATTAAAAAAGCTTATTATCAGGTATTATTATTTTTTTATCTTTTGTTATGTCTACTTTTCAATATAATATTTTTTTTTTGAAATAATAAAAAAAATAAATAAATAGTTAGCTAAAAAATATCACCCGGACGCCAACAAAAATAAAGATTCGCATCAGAAATTCGCTGAGATTAGTGAAGCATATGAAGTACTTTTAAATATTAAAAAATTATTTATAAAATAATTTATTTTATACTTTAATATTTAGGTTCTTAGCGATGAAAAACAGAGGTCACAGTATGATCGTTTTGGATTTGCTGGAGATGCTCAGGGAGGAGGATTTCAAAGTAAAAAAAAAAGATCATAAAACTTTATAAATTTAAATTTAATTTTATTATTTTATAAAAAAGGAGCCAATCCTCATTTTGATCCCGAAGAAGTTTTTAGAGAATTCATGCGTGGCTTTGGTGGGCAAGGGGGGGTCTCCTTCGACATTTTCGGGAACTTTGGTACTTTTTTTATACTAGAAGATTACTTTTTTATAAATTTTCAATAAACTTGAAGGCAAAAGACAATTTCACGAACGAGGGGATGATTTAGTTGCTTCTGTAGATCTTGATTTTATGGAGTCGGTTCACGGCTGTAAAAAAAGTATCTCTTATCGAGCGCTTCTCACGTGCTCCAACTGTTCCGGCACAGGTTTTACTATAAAAATACTTGCAGATTATTTTATGTATCCAATATTGATTTAATTTTTTTAATTAAAGAATTACATTTATACTACAATTTATTTTTGTAATCTTTTTTATAAATTTTATTTTCACTTGAATTTATTTTATATGAATTTAGTTATTCTCGTATTTTATTTTTATATATTATTACTTTGAATTAATCTAGAATAAAATAATTGTTTTTCTTTGCTTACGAATTTTTTTTATACAAGTGAATTTTTGCTTTTTATTTATTTTAAGTAAATTTATATATAAACTAATATTATTTTTTATTAGAATTTTTATATAATTATTATTCGCTATCGGATTAGTTCTACTTAAAAATTGTAGTATTTATACTTTTAAGTAAATTATAATATTTTTCTATACTATTACTAAATTATATTTTTAATAAATTTTTATAAAATTTTTAAAGTAAATTTTACACTTATAATAATTTATAGAACTTTTATATAAAAAAGTTGTAGTTCTCTTATTTTTTTGCTTTTGCTTTTATGGTTTTTAATAAATTTTACTTTTATTATTATTTTTGGATAATTTTTTAAAAAAATCTCTAGATTTATTGTTATTTGCTTTTGAATTTTTTTTTTAAGTAAATTTTATACTTATTTTTCAGTTTTTTTTATAAAAGTTGTCGCTTTATTATTTGCGTCTAAATTTTTGAAAGTAAATTTTACTTTATTATTTCTCGATCTTTTTTTTATAAAAATTTTTTTAGGTTTATTATTATTTGCTCTCGATTTTATATTTTAAAAAAAACTTGAAATTTATTATTTTTTCTTTTTTTTAAAAAAAGCTTGTAATTTTTTTTTTTAAGCATATTTTACTTTATTTTTTTGGATATATTTTTTTAAAAAAAATCTGTAGGTGCTCGTCCAGGCACCAAACCCGAAAAATGTTCACCTTGTCGCGGCACTGGACAAGTTTTTTAAATCTAAATTTACTGAAATTTAATTATTTTTAAAAATTTTAAAATCTTTATAGCAAATGATGTCTTCGGGATTCATGAATGTTATATCCACTTGCAGCCGATGCGGTGGCACAGGTGAGTTTTGATTGGTTTATTTTATTAATTGTGAATTTTTTTAATTAATTGTCCTTTTTTATTATTCTGTTCACGAATTATTTCTTAACCTTTTTTTTTGAACTATTTTTTTTGCTTGACTTTTAATATTATTAAATATTATTATTTTAATAATTGCGATTATTTATATATTAATTGTCTTTTTTTTGTTAACTATTAACGAGTTAATGTTTATTATTAAGTTCGAACTATGTTTTTTGCTTGACTTTTTTATATTATTTATCACCAAAGAATAATACTAATATTTAAATAACGAGTTTTTTTTAAAATGATCTCTTTATCATTATTATTTGCCAACAATTTTTTTTGTTTTTTTTATTAATAACAAATTAATTTGGTTATTTTTTTAATATATTATTATTTTTGTTAATCACATTATTTAGTATGTTATTATATTGTTAATTAGCAACTTTTTTTACTTGATCTTTTTTTATTGTTATTTACGAATTAATTTATTATTATTATTACTAAAGATTTAATTTTTATATTAGTCTTTAACATTATTTTCGATATAATATTTTTTTAATTTATCTTTTTTATTATAATAAATAATTTCTAGTAATTTTTATTTATTATCCATTTTTATTATAAATTACAAGTTATTTTTTCCCCTGATTATTTGTTGATTATTAATCACGAATTTCATTTTTATTTTATCATTTACTCATTAATTTTTTATTATTAGTTGCGGGTTACTTCTTTTTATTGATTTGCCTATAATATTTTTAATTAATATCAATTACAATTTATTTTTTTTTATAAAAATAAAATTTACTTGACTTTTAGGCGAAGTTGTTAAGGATCCGTGCACCACTTGCAAAGGCCGCGGCCTCAAGCCGGAGTCTACTACTGTAGAAGTGGATATTCCAGCGGGTGAGTTGCATTAAGTTTTACTCAATTTTTTTTTAGCTACTAATTTTATAATTTTTAACATTATTCTGATTAGCTACTGAATTTGAAAAAATTATTTTTTTAATAATTTTTCAAAATACTGTTTTTATTAAAAATTTTTATTTAACGAATGATTTTATAAAACTTATTTTTAATTTTTTTTTAAAGCTATTGATTTATAATACCTTTTTTCAAGCCATTGATTATATAATACTTTTTAAAATTATTTTTCAAAGCTAATTCTTTTAAATCTTTATATTTTTATAACCACTAATTTTTAAAAATTTAAATTTTTGAAGCTACTGGTTTTATAAAACTTTATTTTTTTAAATAACTTATTTTTTAATTACTTTTTTTTTTAATACAATAATTTTTTTAGGTGTGGAAAGTGGCTTGCAGTTACAAATCCGTAATCGCGGCCACGCTGGCCCCTCGTCTGCTCCACGAGGAAATTTAATTCTGCAGTTGAACGTGCCTTTGATTATTTATTAAATTTTTTATTTAATTCTAATATTTATGATAATTAATATTTCTTTTAAATAATTTTTATTTTTTAATTATTAATTACATTTTCTTAATTTTTTTTTATTTTTTTAATTCAGAAATATTTATAATGATTAATTTTTTTAAGGTCAAAGAAAGCGAGACTTTTAAACGCATTGGAAATAATGTGCATGTGGATGTAGACATTAGTCTTTCTCAGGCGTGTCTTGGGGGAGTCGCCCGGGTTCCCTCGCTGTATGGAGATGTGGAACTGAAGGCAATTTTTTTTATAAATAAATTATTGCGGATTTTTATATATATATATATTATATAATTAAATTTAATTAAATTTTAGCCGAATTCTTCTTTATCATTAAAATTTATTTGTAATTTCCACTTGTAGGTTCCCCCAGGAACACAACCTGGCGATCGAGTAAAATTGCGAGGCAAAGGGTTTTATAAGCTTAATAATTACCAGAAAGGCGATCAAATTGTTACCTTTAAAGTAAAAATACCAAAAAATTTAACAGAGAAACAAAAAGAACTTCTTAAGCAATTTGATGAAGAAATACAGAATAGCAAAAACGATGATAAAAGTTTTTTTGAAAAATTGAAGGAGAAAATAATATGACTATTAAATTTTTTTGTAAAGCCAAAATAGAGTAATGATATTTTTGAAAGTCGCATTATAACAAAATTGATTCTTAAATTTTTTTAAAAAGGGTGAAATTGGAATTTTTTTATTTAGAATTGTTTTTTGTCTGCACGAGTTGTTTGTAAAAAACTGTATAAGATTAGTAAAAATTATATTTTTTTTGCATATTGAATAAAAAACGAATTATATTGGTTAATATAGTAATAATTTTTATATAGTTTTATAGAATTCCGAAGACTGAAAAACTACCTCTTGACGGTTTAAATGTTTTAACTATTCATCTTTTAAAGAAAAACAGTTTATGCTTATATCTATTTTTTTTATTGAATATAGTTTCTCTGAGTGATTAATGAATTAAATAAAATTTTAAATTTCGTTTTATATAAAGCTTTTGATCATAATTGCCAAGCTTAAAATACCAAAAACCCTTACAGCATGCGCCTTATATATAAATTGTTATAATAAATAAAATCTGGTTAGAAACTTTTTTAAAGTTTATTATAAGAATTTTAATTAAATTATAATTTTAAATGAAGGCTAAAAATTAGTTCTTTATTTAATAGTTTAATTTTATGTACATATATAAAACATTTGATAATAACTTTCAAGGATAGATCTGTATAGGCGAAAAAAAAGGTTTATATTTCCTACTTTCTTTGGTCAACTCGCGTGAGGAAAATCCTTTACCATTTTTTAAACAAGTAAAGTAGTTACTGTCTTCGCTCATCTATTAATAAGCCTTTTTGTAGAAAACCAATATTGTGAAATGATACGTCTTTATCTGTGGTGTATAGACCAGGGCTTAAACCGGCGAGGGTTTATTTGTTTATTTATTTATTAATGGCGTTTCCTGGCACTCGTTCGAGTTAACAACTTCGAATAAACGAGCTCTCAAACAGGTTTTTAGTCGTCCACGGGTGCAAGTAAAATAATTACCTTAGCATGTGCCCTTTACGTTAGACCACCAACTTAGCTATCAACCGTCATGCTAAGAGTGCGTCGCGTGGGCGGCGGTATGTGCTCCGTTCCACACGCTAATAGGCGATTAGCGTGTCCAGTTATCTGTTCGTAGAGGGCGACGCCATCATTAGCAGCTCGTTTCAGAGTTCATATCGAAGTGGTGCGCACAAATCACAGCGCGTGTGTTAAAAGATGGTGCAGTTTGTTTTGTCACGCTTAAAGTGAAGACGTTATTGCCAATAAGTTGTAGGCCCCAGACAGGTGATGCATATGTCATAATCGGCCGATTGCGCGACACATAAAGCCTTGGCCTTTTGCGCCACGTAATTTACGTGTGGACGCCACGACAACCCAGAATCTATATGGCAGGTATTTTACCCGAGAATACCATGGAATTTCCATGCCTTTAAAAGTTAACGGATGTCAGTAGCGCACGGCGTTTTTTCGTTATAAGAAGAGCCTTGCTCTTTGCTGCGTTAGTCGAGTGGTCCCACTGACGACATCAGCTAGCAAGCGCTCGAGGTAAGATTGTAAATACTGACGTAGTAAAACGGGTGACTTGGACGAAGAATAAATCACCACCCATCCACGTAAATGACGACTCGCGGGCGAGGGTGGCCCGAAAAAGCAATATCACTCGTATAATGTGCTAATAACAGCGGTGATAGAAGAGAGCATTGCGGAACTACCGCTGTAAGATGGCAAGGCGATGCCAGCGAGCACCTACTCGCACGTTAGAAGGCCTGTCGGTTAGCTACGACTTGAGAACTTCATGAAGGCTGTGCGATATCGCCAAACCATGTAGCTTGCATAACAGGCCAGCATGCCATACTCAATCAAAAGTCGTCTCAACATCGAGGAGAGCAGCGCCGATGGCTTTATTTAAAAATTAAAGGCTCTGGTCGTCCACTCGGTTAGGCGAAAAATTTGTTGGGACGTTAAGTGTACCTTGTAAAATCCAAACTGAAACTCTGGTAATATTCCACGAGCGTTCACAATTGCCTTCAAACGATTAAGTATCATTGCTTCAGCTATCTTATGAACTGCGACAAAAGCAGGTGGGTTGGTAGTTGTGAGAGTCTGAAGATGGTTGCGACCCCTTTGGTAACATCACGACTACCGCCATTCAAACGCCCTGGAAAATAGCCGGGTTGACGAGGCCGCATAGATAATTCATTGTAGCCTCTGGCAACTGTTTTAACATCAGTTTAGTGATGCTGTCTGGGCTGGGAGCCTTTCGCTTTATCTTTCAACGCTTTCGGCTACTGTTTCGCCGTTGCGAAGTGGTGGTCGAGTTCAATGCCCGCGATTTGTAACTTGCTCAACCAATTTTCAAAAATAAGCGCGACCGATGTCACCAGCTTTAGATACTTCGTTTAATTTGGTACCCATTGGCAGTATATACTTGCCAACAGCTTTTTCATGATGAGCTGATTAAGGCGGTTTAGCGCTAATTTGTCTTCTGCGAATTGGAAGGCTATGACTACTAGAATGAGTCGCCGGCTGTCGCATATCAATGCCTTTAGCCCCTCATGAAGGTGTTTAGGGCGGAACATAACCTCACGTTGTCATCGTCGTTTTGCTGTGAGCTTCTGCCACCGCGCGCTCAGATTCGACAACCGCATTATTTAGTTTAGCGGGAGTCCCAGTGGTGTCGTAAATAGTGGGAGCGACTTCTCGAATGATTCAGTGAATTCGTTTCAAATCGTGATAAGATCAGGAGTATGTTAATTGCTTCCTTTTCGTCACCAAATTCGAGCAGGGCAGGCTAATGATCCGACGACAATTAATATAGCGCCTAAATAGCCTTTAAAAGGCTTATATTTTTTAACACGGCGATATCCAACACGTCATTTGTGCCCGACATCCTCTCCGGGTGTATTAGCAACTGTGGCCTTAGGACTCTCAACCCGCGTTCCTCAGCGTAGAAGGATGTAACCGCTCCAATTTGCAACCCCACTGCTCCACGGAGGATGTTTACAGTTAAAATATCCACATAAAATGGCCGCAAAGTTATGTACTAGAAGAGCGTCAATATCGAACAACGTGAGTAGTGACTGTGCGGTTATAGGTTGATATTACAGTAAAGAACCCCTGTCTAGCTAGGTAAAGGGTAACACCAACTGGCTCGTTCCCTTGCAGAGCTGGTAATGCTATCAAATGGAGTTGGATGCCTCGCTTGATCAAGGCAGCTATTCCTCCACCACCGGTGTAGAATCGATCCCGGTAATACGTTGCAAATTTGCAGATGTTAAGTGGTATATTAGGGGAGAGCAGTGTTTCGCTGACAGCACAGATATCTATTCTTCCATGTTGCATTATCTCCTGCAACTCGTGATTTTTTCTCCTGAATGCCACCCCATTCCAAACAGTAATCGGAGGTGATAAGTCTCTGAATTTATAAGCCTTTGCAAAAAAATTCTCACTCTCACGTCTGGAGCATGGTCGAGAGATTCGTCGTCAAAATAGATAACAGCGGCCTTAGAGTCGGTTGCGATCGCTGTACTTCTTGTTGTCGAGTAACTGTCTCAGCGTTACCAATGTTAATAAGATAATTAGCAGGGGGGAGATTGGCGCGCGCACTCGCTCCTAGGTGGGGAGCATAGGATATAGTTGGGGTAATGGTGGCATCCGAGGTGGTAATCGGATGTCGTGGTCCCGTAGGTTGGTAGGCTGCTAAGGGCCTCCGCGAGCAACATTTGCAGCCTCGGTAGTTTGGCGGTATGTGTCTCACCGCAATTCGCACATCTAGCCGGCGAGTCTCCTTTTTTGGTACATACCGCAATCAAAAGACCCTCACCGCATTTGACCAACCGAGGTTGCGCAGCGAAAAAGCTTGCAGCGTGGCCAAAGATCTGGAAGCGGTGGCCCTGGCCAACGCGATTGTTTTTGGAACTTCTATTTTGATTTGAGAAGTCTTCATCTCTATTAGCTTTAGTCGTTCCGCTCTGGGTATATGCACCAGCTGTAATGGTAACGCACGCTTCTTCCGCTTACCATTAACAGTAGGCTACTCTCCATGTGCATCCGTGCGACTTGGAGGGGTGTGCCTTGCGAGCGCGAGGGCTAATTGTTATCTTTTATATATAAGAGCCCCCGAGCACGACTTTCTTTTTTTTTCCTTCCCTTTGATTAGTGGTTTTGATTGTGTGTGGTGTTCCCAGGAGTCTTTAAATTTATCAAATAAATTATCTACTATATTATATAACTAATAGTTTATAAATATACCAGTTACAAAGATTTAATACCGGTAAATCAACATAAGAAAAAAATCCTGGTTCATAAAATTTATTGCTATTTGTCATTTTTGGCAATTTTCTCGGTATTAAGGATTTTTTGGCGCATTGTAAGCAGTCGCATTTTTTTTTTGACCCCGCGCTCTCGCCTTGTCACGTTTGTATCATAATTCATAAATATACTTGTTTCCAGTTTATTTTTTAAGGCTTAAGGGTTCAAATAGCTTAAATTATTTAAGCTTATCTAATCGTCGCACATTCTCATAAAAGTCTCAAGTACACGATTAATACTGTAACATTTTTTAGCTCAAATTATGCTCCGCTACTTGGCAGCGAATTTGCTAATGGTTATAGCAAACAATTCTAAGATGCCCGTCTTTAATAACCTTTTGCATTCTCTTTGGGCCATGCTATACTTAATGCTCGCCCTTTATCTTAAAGTAATTCCGCCATACAGTTTTTGATTCTTTTTTAAATCTACTACTAAGAAGCTAAATAGTGTAAAATGCCAACTTTTTTATCATAGCTTCCAAAATTTCTTACATTTAGATTTTATATAAAATCTTTTCGTCTTCAAGGAATGACAGAGAAAAAGATGAGGAGAGAACAGTTTAATACCCTGTAGAGGAAAAGTATTTATACCTTCAGGAGGAAGTCGTGGGTAGACAGGTGGAACCTAATCGGACATGGTATAATAAATACATGGTATACTACGTAGTATGAGCACGTGATTATCAGAGTTTACTCCAGCAAGGTAAAATTACTCTTTTCCTTTTAAATATAATTAAAAGCTTGCAAGTCACTTAGTTCAAATTACACATTGCACCCATTTTACGACCCACCAGATCTTATTTTAAAACTTTCCATTCTGACTAAGTTATGGTTTACCTTCTCATAGTCACTTCTTTCTATTACACATCCATACTAATTTAGACATAGTTTCGCATAAGCTCTTTTTTTCTTAACAAAAAACAGTAGTTTTCCTGCTTCCAAAGTAGTATATCGACTTAAATAAATATAACCCTCCTTTTCGTTCTTTAAAAACAACTTATAATCCTTAACTATATTTAAACTTGTGTAACTCTCATTTATCATAATTTCTAAACCGAAGTACAGGTTTTCACATATTTCACTTAACTATGCTGTTTCTTTAAATTTTCTAGAGATAAATTACTTAAGAAATGTCATATTGCAAATCTTCCGTAATGAGCATATTGCCTAATTTATAAATTAGTAAAGTCTCAAAGTCTTTTATTTTTCAATAAGCCAGTCAGATAATTAAACTACAATTCTTTTAAATTTTTATCTTTTTCTACATTAACCTTATATATTTATTTTTTATATCACTTTTTTATTACGAACTGACCCACGTCCACTTAATTTTTCTTAGGAAATGGGTTCCAGTTAGGTTAATATCACATGTTGAGGCCTAAATGTTTCGAGAACTAGTGTAGTATGAATAAAAAATTACATACAATTACATTCAAAAGCATAATAAAATAGACTCTTCAAAAATTTGTTTATTATTTTAAACTTGCCGGAAGATAACAAGCAGGAGAATCGCTTTGCGGATGCTCGGTAACTCGAGCGCAGACCGCTTAGCATTGTTTCGTAAGCGCTCGTACTCCTGGAGTATCGTGAAAGTCCCGATTTTCTAGGTAGAAGAATGCAGTAAGTGGTTAGCTCCGGGTCACCATCGCAGTACTAACAATGTTCCTGAAGATTTGACTTCTCAGATTGGACGGGTTAAATTCCTTTTCACTAGTGCACCCCTGAACTATGTGCATGCCGCCACTATTTGAGATGTGCTTTGCCCTCAAAAGTTCTAACCTCACAAGTATATAAAGTTACACTTCTCTGAGCTTACATTTAACAAAAGCAGATTACTTGTGTACCCTTAAAATGTAGAGCACACAGGTATTCATTTTTTTTGTTTGTTAGTTATAACAATCTTATGTAAGGGAGATGTTATCCTTTCTCATTAGCATCTTTTACTTTTAATTCATTTTTGTATTATAATATACCATTAACATATTAATACTGGACAGAACATTATAATATTAAATGATAATATTAACGGCCTTGAATAATAAAAACAGAAATAGGAAAGTAGAGCCTAAAAATTGAGAGTCAAATAATAAAAAATTGTGAATTTGATAGTTTTAAGTCAAATTTAATTATGAAAACAATACACAATTAACAATATCAAAAAAAATCAACAACTACAAAAGTAAGACAGCGTTTATTATAATGACTATACATGACAGCCGTCATAAATACGAAGGGAGTGTCACTACTAAAAATATAATTTCTGAAAGAAAAGGGTTGAAAGTCTTCTTAAATAGCTGCCGAATATTTTAAAAGTGCTGACTTTAAATATAGTAGTATGTAGCTTTCGCAGACAATCTTTTCTCTCTATAATAAATTAAATAATTTTTTTATAAATTTATCTTGGTTATTTTTTTAAGATATTAGATGCATACTGCAGTCATAAGTTGAGCATAAAAAGGTTATACCTCATAAGTTGGAAAAAATTTTAATAAAAATTACTCACTTTTTTGTTTACGACGAAACATTAAATTTTAAAAGTCTTTCTTATTTATATAAATATTACTTAAAAGGTAATTAATTGAAAAAAAAAAAAAAAAATGAAAAGTTAATGATACAATTCTGAACAGAGTACGCCTTATACTTCACCTGAAAAAAAATGCACCCCTCTAAATTATTACCTTTTTAGGTTTTAACGAAGAAGGATCATCGCCACATAATTCTCGTAACTTTTTTACTAAAATGAAATTATATTTATACTTTTGGGGTTGCGTAAGTCTAATATATAAATTTGGCAACTTATTAGGAAAAGTTTTATCACAATTTTACTTGCTCTATATGCATTGTCTACTAAGCAAACGAAGCCTTTCTGTTATTTTAAACTGTGTTAAACCAAACTTATTAAAAAAAAGCATATTATTATTCTTACATCCGATTTACCTCTATTCATGCCAATTTTTATGTCACTTTTCTTAAAATGCTTACGATGCAAAATGGATGTTTCGCTAATTCCTAATATTAATCTTTGTTATAGTAAAGTATATGTACAGTGGTTTCCCTCCTAAGCCAATAATTTTCAACTTCAGGAAATCACTTAACATAAACAATATAAATTCGTAATAACATACAAATAATCTTTTCCTTTGAATTTTTCTGCTTTAGGGTGAATGCTATTTCCTTAAAGGGGTTAACTGAAGTTGTTTATATTCGTTTTTAAATTATTTATAATAGTAAAGTTTCAAAGTTTGAAACAGTACTTCGAAACTATTAATTTCGACATGGGAGCGTTATTATCTTCTCCCTACTTAGAAAAAGCAAACACCAAAAAAGAAACCTGCTCCGGCCGTGGTGTCTTTACAAAAATACTATGAAAATAGTAGTAACATTATTGATACTTAATTTTTAAGATGTACGAGGGAATTTAATTTGGTGTGTGAGTAGCATGCAAGGATGGAGAAGATTTATGGAGGATAGCCATAGCATTGAATTGTTGCTATTAATTTTTAAATAACTTTATATATTTTTATTGTTTTTATATATAAATTTTTATGAATTTTATTAAGAATGGAGGAAGCAGCACCGGGAATTTATGCAGTTTTTGATGGCCACGGCGGTAGAGAAGTTGCACTGTTTTGCAGTAACTACTTTGTGAGAGAGTTAAAATCTCTTCCATCTTTTAAAGAAGGTTTAATCTATTATACACACTATTTTTTATTATTTTTAATCTTTTTTTTAGGGAACTACCAAGAAGCTATACGTCAAACTTTTCATAAAATAGACCAATTGTTAACTGATGAGAATTATATTGAAGAACTTGAAGCTCTTCGCCATCCAGAAGGTTACTTTTAAATATTTTAATATTTATATTCTTTTAACGTAAATTAGATTATTTATACATGTGATATATTACAAATATATATGTATTTCTTAACAATCTTGTTAAGATTTACTTAAGGAATTTTTTATTTCCGTAAAATAAGATTCAATCCAAATATTTTAAAAAGTAAAATTATATAATAAAGTTTACTTAAGGGAATTTTCATTTCATTAAAAAAAATTAAGTGCACTTTATTAAAAAGTAATAAAATATAATAAGTTTTTTGCTGAGGTCCCTAAATTACTTAATTATAAGCAAATTCATGTGGTCCATTACTTGAATCTACACCCCATTTATAATTTGCTATCTTTTAATAGTAGATAAATAGCTTTAAACTTCTAATTTTTTAATAGTAAAAAATTTAGAGCTGCGCACATGTCGTTCTTATAATAAAACCATTTAAAAAGTCTGTAAAGCTCATAATCGACTAGAAGATCTCAAGTTGAAATTGGAAACCTCGTAAAGGAATTATATATATAAGAAATTTAACTTTTATTCTGTACTTCAACAAAAAAGAATACATTTTAAGGAGTTAT